TTTTGCACGCATCTGCCTGCTGCCAAATATCATCAACTTGGTTTTGCCAGGGTTTAGTAACAATTGATTGTTGGAACACCATTCCCCTATTTTAAACAAGTCGTCTTCCAAATCAGCAATTGCATCCAGGTTGGCTTTAAGCTCGAAGGAAGTGATGAGTTTCGTATCATCTACATAACTCTGGGTGCTGCATTTCTGTGGGATCAATGGAAGATCGTTCGTATATATGCTAAAAAGAAGTGGGCCCAAGATGCTTCCTTGAGGAACGCCACTGGTCACAGACAAAGGCTCAGATAGCGTTGAATAGATTCGTACTACTTGTGACCTGTTGCTTAGGTAACTACGAAACCATTGGAGAGTATCACTGGAAATTCCGACATCTTGCAATTTTAAAATTAACGTGTCATGATTGACACTATCAAAGGCTTTGCTCATATCTAATAGTACAACTGCCGTTAACTTCTTTTTATCGATGGCGTTAAGAATTGTGTCTGTTGTTTCAATGACAGATGTTTCACAAGAGTACCATCTCTTGTTACCGCTTTGACTCTTTGATAGGGTGTCATTTGATTGCAGATACGAGGTGAGTTGATTATGTACTACCCTTTCGCAAACCTTCGATAAAACTGGTAGAAGTGAGATGGGTCTATTGTTGTTTGCCTGTTCATGGTCGCCCTCCTTTAGGATGGGTGTAACCTCGGCTGTTTTCCATTTTGATGGAAAAACACAGTTTTGAAAGGATGCATTAACGATAGACGTTATTGGGTGAACAATTGGATTAAGACAGTCTTTGATGACACGGATCGGAATTTTATCTATCCCGGGGGCCTTGTTTGAAGGCATCGCTGCTGTTATACGCTCTACTTGTTTATAATCAACGGTACTAAGTGTGAACTGGTCAGAGGAAGCGTAAGGAAGGCTTGCGGTTATTGATTTTCAAAAGTCGATCCGGGTCAGATAAGAAGCGAAGAAATCGTTTACAGTAGATTTATAAAGATCCCATTGGGCTAATTAATCGTGCTAACCGACAGGTATAGACATTTTTCAAGGTGAGACTTTAAATAAGTAATTCATTTATTCACACGAAACTCCTCTGGACCCTGTGGGTGCGGGGCCTGTTTCTCGATATTCCCCCTAACTTTTCGGGCCCAGAAAGTTGTTTTGTGTTTGTTGTGTTTGCGTTCAGGATCAAAGTTTCAATAATTTTGAAAATAACACAATGCAACCGTTAGTGAACGAAGCAAAATTGACTGGTTTGTGGGCTAAGAACTGTGCTACTATGTAACTGGTTTTAATTTCAAAATTTCCTTTCGGGCCCGAAAAGTCTCCGGGTCTTTCGAGAAACGGGCCCTAGGGCCCTAGCCATTATAAGGCTAACTGAGGCACCGCGCCCCAATCCCGATTGAAGGGGAAAAGTTAATCACTGCTAACAATTAAATTAATAAACAAACAATTGTATATTTGCTTGGAAACGAGGTCGGTCAAAGGCAAACTGATTTGCCTGGAAACGAGGCTACTTGGGCAAAAGTATACTACAAAAATGGCTTTTACAGCTATCCGATACGGTGGCTCATAAGGACAAAACACTTCCCAGAATCCAAAACACGTCCCAGAATCCAAAACACTTCCCAGAATCCAAAAACACATCCCAGAATCCAAAAACACATCCCAGAATCCAAAACACTTCCCAGAATCCAAAAACACATCCCAGAATCCAAAACACTTCCCAGAATCCAAAAACACATCCCAGAATCCAAAAATATTTCCCAGAATCCAAAACAGGTCCCAGAATCCAAAACACATCCCAGATCTGGATTCTGGAAAGTGTTTTTGAATTCTGGGACGTGTTTTGGATTCCGGGAAGTGTTTTTGGATTCTGGGACGTGTTTTGTCCCTACGAACTACCGTAATCCGAAGACGAAACATAAAACAAAATGCAGAATATGCAAAATATCTAGCTCGATTTTTATATATCTCTATATATCCTAAAAATGTGCCGAGAAAAAAGTCGACGAGGAAGTAAGTTTGTTAAAATCTTGGAAATATTTTGAATGATTAATAAAACGATTATTAAATTCGGCTTTCGTATAATGTGAATTAGCTCAGACGTTGTTATCCACCTCGGTGACACACTCGCCTGCGGCTCCGGTGCCATTTTTTTTGTCCTCAGGATATTACCACATTTTGAACTCATCTGTGATCTATTGCTGAAGAAACGTACGGCAACATGTAGAATCTGTTTGTTAAGCAGTTCGCTCGAGGCCGGGCAGTTTCAGTGCTCTGAGCCTAAGAAAACAGCCGACATTTCGCGACACCACCACTGGTTTCCCCGCGAAATGACGTCTGAGGATATGAGCGCGAGCGCAATAATAACTCCACAGTACTGGAGTATTTTGTGTATGTGGTGTATGTGTAATGTATTGACTTCAGCACAGAATTGTCCTAAAAAAGCAAAATCCTCTTGACTCACAAAGCCCCTTTCAACAAAGACATCGCCACTGGCTACGGCCGTGCCCCCCGGTGTGATTCTGTTTTTTTTGCCTGATAAAGAAACTAATTATTTAAAATTTTAATTATTCACTGCCATCGTCTTTGTTCTCGTGATGACGATGATGTTTACAATGCACAGGAAGAAATAATAGAATTAATTTGTTTTAAAGCTTACCTAAGGATACACAAAAGAAGTATTTAAACTATCTTTAATTTATTTACTAAAGACATTAAATACACCTTTCCTAGACTTTAAGGTGAAAATTAACGCCTAACTTATGAATCATTTCATAACCGCTTTAAGTTAAGAAGAAAGGTAACTGAAAGGTTCATTTCATAAACTTTAGGAACTGCTCCTAAAGCGTTCTAAAGTAACATTTAATTAATCTTTTGTGTCAACTTTAGTATACCTTTAATTTTTCAAAAATGCCTGGTGGTATATCTTTGCTTTGCCTTTAATTCTACTTTAATGTAGTATTAAAGACTCATGTCATCTTTAATTTGTCTTTAATTCTATTTTAATGTTTGATAAAGGCACCAGGTCATCTTTAATTTGCCTTTAATTCCATTTTAATGTTTCATAATACCCCGCGTTTGTCATCTTTAATGTGCCTTCAATTCGATCTATTTTAATGTTCATTAAAAGCCCCAAAGTAGAGAATAAGATAAAGGGATTAAAACTGGGGTATCTCAGCTTGTCGGAGAAAAATATCATAAGTTGAACACTGGAATCCATGACTGCATGGTTTCTCTTAAAGAAATAACTAAATACAGTGAAACAAACAAAATCTACTTTAAAATCAGTTTATTGTCAATAATGTCTAATTCTTATTTTGAAACTATTCACTGCCTACTTTAATCGGAAAACCATTTTGTGGTGAAAAAAAAAAAATAGACCAAGGACCACAAGTACATCTTTATCAAATAGGTTTGGTGATCGTTAATTTATAAAATAAATTCACAACACTGTTCATCGTCAACTTATGAAGATAGTCCTGCAATCACACAGATGAAGTGGTTGAAGTATCAAGATCTGATGCTTGAGCATTAAGGGCCCATTCAGGAATTTCAGGAGGGTCACGTTCTGACGGCTCCGTACAGTTCTAGGCACAATCCTGTCACGTGCCCTCTTAGACAGCCTCTTGTTATACTTTTTATCAAGCTGCTTTTTGATTTTTCGCAGAGCTGTGCTCTCCCAAGGGAGCTTTTTGATCTTATAACTGGTTAGTGCCTCCTTGCCATCTTTGTCAGCTTCATAACAGCTATCCTTGCTGCTCATTGTCTCCATCAGGAGGACCTCTTCTTCCATTCTCATGGTTGTCGCCCCATTTCACCATTTCTAGGGCAGCTGTCCTCCTTGTTAACTTCTAAAAGAAAGAAACAGAATAAGAGTAGGTGGTGGGCCAGAACTGATTACAATACAATCCAACTGATTCCACCATTGGATATGTAACAAAAGAGTATAATTAGATGAGACAATATCCAGACTAATCTCTGTTATTATTCTGTACATCACAAAAATTAAATCTTATAATAAATTGTTGTTTTTTGAATGAAAAGATACGGTCAGTAGATATGTTATTTACTGCCTTTTCAGAGATAACAAGCCACTTAAACCAACTAAGCATCCAAGGTTTACATCAGGTTACTCTAAGAAATCATGCAACATGCGTGTCCTCCTTTTATGATCTTCGTATTTTTCAGAATTTTTCAGTCTTCTAGTCTCATTTAATGACTGAGAATATCTTTGTAGAGCAGCTGTTGTCATGGTAAAGTAAGGTGTCTAGCATTAGCACAGGCTTACATCAGTACAGGGGAGTGTATTCTAGGAAATGGTGTATTGTAGGGGAACCAATTACTCTAACTTATAAAATTCAGGGTGCCCAGCAAATAAAACAATTAAGATTTTCTTGTTTGCTTAAGGAGAAAGGTAATTCATCACTTTATAAACACTGCGGCCAACCTGTCAATGTTTTACAAATGATATGAAGCTACCACTGGATGGTTAAAATCTTAATTGATGTTATATTTATATTATATCACGTGATCTGTTCCAAAATTAAAATAAACAGGAGATGGCCTAAATTTGTCCGACTTTAATGATGTGTGACTATTATACATATGAATACAGGTAAATTTACAATTAAGCAGTCCCACTTTCAGGCTGTTTAAACGGTCACTTCTTAAAACAATTAGCATACCGCTGCACTAAATGAAATTGTGCATTCCTTGTAATGAACTGTTTTGTTGTTGTCTTTTTTTCTCTCTTCATCTGGAGGAATGGAAAACTCCTTGAGGTAGTTAAGGATTAATCCCTCGCTACTCTCACTCACTACTGTATCTTTCTAGTGTTTTTGTTAATGTTCCTTAAAGCGTTTTGAACCTGTATTGAATGGGTCAAAATAACCCGTCATTTTGCCCCTTCCCAAAGGGTGACCACAGCAATTACAAAGGTTGGACTGCGAATTGTCTTATGTGAATGACAGTGTACCTTCCATCACGGCCCTTGTCTATGGACACCTTTCCTCTCCTCCATGTTGGTGTAACACTTGGGCCATTACTCTTTGGAAGATACTATGGTAGCGTTGTTGTCAGAGCTTACTCTAAAAAGATATGTCACCAAAGCAAAGTCACTTTCTTGATCTTTGATACATATTGTCTCTTTGGCAGGTATCAGGTACATATTATTGGCATCAATGTTCAATGACACTGGCATTTTGAACTTCTGAATAAATTCTTTTTAACCCTTTAACCCCTAGCAGCGAACAGCATCAAATTTCTCCTTACAGTATCACAGACAAATCAAACAGAATAAAATAAAATGATCACCAATGAACAGAGAACAGTGTAAAGAATATGCAAGTTGATTTTTGGGGTTAAAGGGTTAATCTACAAAAAAGGCAGGTGAAAAACTAGAGCTAAATTGGGTTGGAAGGCATAATACAATGGGTACTATTGTCATTCATGAGGTGGAGGTGTTCACTGTTGACCCTTCCAAGTTCTGTAGTGGCTTCCAAAGAAACATCATGAGGTACTAATAAATCGTCCTGTCATATATTTCAGTTGGTTTTTATTTTATACTACGTGTAATTGACCTGTTCCAAATCTGCGTAGATTCCCTCCAGGTGTGGCCTACCATTGATGTATGTGCAGTAATTTACTTTCTCTTCAAATTATAACTTACTTGGTTTTTTAAGTGAAGCTAAGACCTGTTTGGTAGTTAAATTAAAATTTGATAGATGTTTATTATACTTACTCTTCATCAAGGTAGAAGCCGTGAAAGTCTTCCTTTTTAGAAAGGACCTTGTATATTTGCCTTAGACTAGTGTTCTCTATAAATGAAAGAAATCACATCCCTTTCTCAGTTTGACAATAATATGCTGGTCAAAAGACATCCCAGGTTATGACTCTCGGGGACAGGAGCCAGAATTTAGTATTAAAAATTCAGATGTCTGCTTTGGTTTCGTTTTGATGTCATTTATGTCTCATTCAAAAAACAGGTGGCTTGAAAAAATTAACTCCTGCAATGCAAAAAAAAAAAAAAAAAATGACGTTCCACGCTTATTGTCAGTTATTGTCACCACCTCATATTCCCACGTAATGGTACAGTAATTTATTACATGCATACATTTTTTGTGGCGGCCGAGGTAGAAAATACAAATGAAATCTTCCTTAATCTTGTTACACAAATTTCTTCCTTGTCTATTAAAACCGTGCAGGTTTTTTTCTCAAACAAAGAAATAAGTAAAATGAAATAAAAGTGACCTATTCAGCCTAAAGTGTCACGAGTGTCGTGTATCTGACCGAACGATAGTAATCTATGCAGGATTTGCGCGCTAAAACCATTCAAACCAATTTTACACCTCATTATGCATGTCCACCTACTTCAGTCATTTCAGTTTTGTAATGTATAATTTTCATGTAATTTTTTTTATAGCAAATCGTCTTTGCGTCATTCGAATGCACGTTTCTTTTGATACTTACCCTGCATGCCACAGGAACGGCAATTGTATGAGCGGCAGCCCTGCGTCTGGAGCGATGTCTTGCGCCAGGAGCTTCTCGCTCATTTAACCTTTGCTCAATCCTTTGCAGGACTTGTGTTTGATTTCTTCTAGCTGCCTCGTGTTCTCGCCGCAGCTTCTCATTTTCTGCGGCGAGTTTTCGGTTACTTTGGATTAGTTCCTCTAGTAGCACAACACAATCTTCAGCCGATCGACCTTCCATAGCGAACCGATTTCTAGCTGCACAATAACAATAAAAAATTCTGAAGAACTACAAGCTTTCTTTGACATGGTGCTTTCAATGACAGTGGCTATAGCTTTCTAGAGATTTAACAATTGTGATGCGAGATTTTATTGCTTATGGTGCAGAATGCGAGTGGCGGCTTTTAGTCAGATCTTTGAGTTACTGCACCCTTTCCAGTGAACACGTATTAAGCAGCAGATTTTGTGTTACTTGAATAACATGGTGCTTTCAATGACAGTGGCCATAGCTTTCTAGAAATTTAACAATTACGATGTGAGATTTTATTGTTTATGGTGCAGAATGCGCGTGACGGCTTTTTGTCAGATCTTTGAGTTTCTGCACCCTTTCCAGTGAACACATATTAAGCAGCAGATTTTGTGTTCCTTATATGAATGACATGGTGCTTTCAATGACTGTGATGTGAGATTTTATTGCTTATGGTGCAGAATGCGAGTGACGGCTTTTAGTCAGATCTTTGAGTTTCTGCACCCTTTCCAGTGAACACGTATTAAGCAGCAGATTTTGTGTTACTTGAATAACATGGTGCTTTCAATGACAGTGGCTATAGCTTTCTAGAGATTTAACAATTATGTTGTGAGATTTTATTGTTTATGGTGCAGAATGCGAGTGACGGCTTTTTGTCAGATCTTTGAGTTACTGCACCCTTTCCAGTGAACACATATAAAGCAGCAGATTTTGTGTTACTTGAATAACATGGTGCTTTCAATGACAGTGGCCATAGCTTTCTAGAAATTTAACAATTACGATGTGAGATTTTATTGTCATGGTGCAGAATGCGAGTGACGGCTTTTTGTCAGATCTTTGAGTTTCTGCACCCTTTCCAGTGAACACATATTAAGCAGCAGATTTTGTGTTCCTTATATGAATGACATGATGCTTTCAATGACTGTGATGTGAGATTTTATTGCTTATGGTGCAGAATGCGAGTGACGGCTTTTAGTCAGATCTTTGAGTTTCTGCACCCTTTCCAGTGAACACGTATTAAGCAGCAGATGTTCTGTTACTTGAATAACATGGTGCTTTCAATGACAGTGGCTATAGCTTTCTAGAGATTTAACAATTATGATGTGAGATTTTATTGTTGATGGTGCAGAATGCGAGTGACGGCTTTTTGTCAGATCTTTGAGTTACTGCACCCTTTCCAGTGAACAGATATAAAGCAGCAGATTTTGTGTTGCTTGAATAACATGGTGCTTTCACTGACAGTGGCTATAGCTTTCTAGAGATTTAACAATTATGTTGTGAGATTTTATTGTTTATGGTGTAGAATGCGAGTGACGGCTTTTTGTCAGATCTTTGAGTTACTGCACCCTTTCCAGTGAACACATATTAAGCAGCAGATTTTTTGAATGACATGGTGTTACTTGAATAACATGGTGCAGAATGCAGTGACGGCTTTTGTCAGATCTTTGAGTTTCCACCCTTTATCTTTCTAAGCAAAAATTTAACATGGTGCTTTCAATTACGATGTGAGATTTTATTGTCATGGTGCAGAATGCGAGTGACGGCTTTTTGTCAGATCTTTGAGTTTCTGCACCCTTTCCAGTGAACACATATTAAGCAGCAGATTTTGTGTTACTTGAATAACATGGTGCTTTCAGTGACAGTGGCCATAGCTTTCTAGAGATTCAACAATTCTGATGTGAGATTTTATTGCTTATGGTGCAGAATGCGAGTGACGGCTTTTTGTTAGATCTTTGAGTTTCTGCACCTTTTCCAGTCAACACATATTAAGCAGCAAATTTTGTATCACTTGAATGACTAATTGCACACAAATGGTGCTTTCAATGACAGTAGCCATAGCTTTCTAGAGTTTTGACAATCATGATGTGAGGTTTTATTTTTTCTTTGACACAGGGTTAAGCAGCAGGCGATGGAGTGTCCACCGATATCAGGCGAAAAGACTTGCTTCAGTTTTCTTTTAGGAATTCACAGTTACTGCTTTGGTACTGAGATGAACTTTCAGCGACATTGTGTGACAAAAAGAGAATAAAAAAAGCAATTCATGATAACACCAGTTAAACCATTTATTAGTAGTATTATTCATTAGTTTCAAACGATGCTAATAATTATATGTATGTAAAAGTAGAAATCATCTTGCCACTTTTTACCCAGCTATACTGTAAAGCGTCTAATGAAAGGCCCGGGTGTGCTCTGGATTTTTCTTATGAGCTTCGCAACAATTGTTATTACAGTTGAACTTTCCTGTTGATGGGAGCCATCACAACTTGTTTTTGTCCCTCTACATCCACTTCAGCTGAGGCGAATCTTGAAAATATCCTTTGGACTGGCATAAACGCCGAGGGTCCTCCTGGATAGAATTTGTTTTTTAGACGCTGATTGGGTTGCCATGTAGAGTAGTCAGGATTCCTCATGCGAGCGAGCGAGTGCACGTGGTTTGTCTTGACCCAAAAGGTCAACTTAATGTCACTTGAAATTATTAATTTTCAAGAATCACAAAGATGTTTTGTTAAGCTTTAATTAAGTATCCGAAAAGACTCTGAAATACAAGCGTTCTTTCTGCGTTACTTTTACGAATGTTTAAGTTCAAATTAAAGATGAGGAAAGATCTAAGATCATTTAAATTTGCTTTAATTTGAAATTAAAGGTGCTACATTTTAATAGCTAATTTTGGAATAAATTAAAGACAATTAAAACGAGACGTAAAGGTTATTAGTCTTTAATGTAACCAAAAGGTCAATTAAAGGTAAACTAAAGGGACAGAAAACCTTTCGGAAATTTAATGTCACAATTAAAGGTAATTAAGGATGGAACAGAACTTTTGGTGAGCTTTAATTTTTCACTAAAGACACCAAAATGAAAGCGTTCTTCCTGTGATGGGGGTGATTAGAAACTCGTTCTCGCAAAACGGAGCTAAAAACGGTTACTCTTTCGCCTTAGGCTTAACACCTGACATGGGCCAAAGTTATTATTGGTTTCCCTCAATCCCGGGGAGACTCCCTTATTTGATCTAGTGGGTATGTGCTGTGCTGAACAGGGTATTGTTTACAGGGTCTTGGCTCTTGAACAATGTATTACGCATTGTACTATTTAGCGTCTTGACTGAACAAGGAGTCTTTTTGGACTAGAAGCCTGTGCAAGAGTGGGAACGCTGGCGATAAGAGGTCTACAATTTGTACAAACAATTTTTTTCAAAATACCGATTTCCATGGTGTTAAAAATTGCTTAATTCTGTTCGCAAAAGGAAATGAATCAGGGTCATAAAATAAGGTCTTTTGTCTTCAACAGGCCAGCGAAATGCACGATTTTTGTCTTAATTAAACTGCAGGGCCTCGACTGTACATCTCTACCCAAACTTTCCTTGAGTGTCCCCCTTGAATTTCAGTTAGGTGTCTATTTCTTGGCAGCTGTAGTTCTCCATGGTATATTGTTATAATTACTTCGCAGACGAATGCAGATTATTTAAAAGGTTCAATTGACAAGAAGACACCTTCCTCATCAGCAAACTCATCTCGCCTTAATAATGACATCCAACTCCCCGCGGGGTAACTTACTATCAATAAAGAATTGGTGAAACAAACACTTTTTCGCTTTTATAATTTTTGTTTCAGAATGATTTCATAGAGTCTGTTCTTGCAACTGCTTAACTTGGTGATCCCAGAATTAATTGCGTTAAGTCGGTGCTTTTTCTTTTCACAACTTTGACAAGTGAAGTTTGTTTTGTAGTGATGGCGGCGATCAAATTGAGATTAAAGAAGGATAATTCGTTACAGCAATGGAACCAATAAGAAATTGTTGACATTTAATCAATTTTGGCATAGGTTTAACTATAGACGAATTACATATATTGCAAATAACAAGCTTCCCGTCTACGGAAGAACTTGGTCCATAAAAATACGAGAGTAATGATTGAGGTAAATTACGTACAACGCAGCAAAATGGAGATAAGGCTGGCGTTAGTTTCTCTCTTAGTTTTGTTTGTACTTGGTCCAGTGGATGCTCTATCGCCTTCACCTTCACTAAACCACAACTCAAGTAACCCGTCTGGGACTTCCAACTCAAGTCTATCGCCCTCTTCACCTTCACTAAACCACAACTCAAGTAACTCGTCTGGGACTTCCACCTCAAGTCTATCGCCCTCTTCACCTTCACTAAACCACAAGTCAAGTAACTCGTCTGTGACTTCCACCTCAAGTCACTCGAATCAGTCAACATCCAAACCAACAGCGTCGTCTCCAAGATGTCATCAGCTCAAAGTTTGTTGGCTCAACAGTCCACCTTACTTATTTAAAGATGATGATACTGGAAACATTTCCGGGGCCTTCAACGAGGCAATCGAATTTTTACTTAGTAAATGTAAAAATGACTGCAACCCTAAGCCCGCATACAAATGGTGCGAAAACTCTAGCTCCAAATTAAACTACAGTTATCAAGTAGAGAATGCTACGGAACTAATAGAATGCATGGAGACGACGTCTGGATTTGACCTAGTGTTTCCCGTGCTTAATTCCCACGTAAAAAACCACATCTTTTACAAAGTTCGCTTCCAAGATATAGTAAGTTCGCCTGGCATAGCTGTATTGAGGAATCGCAAAGTGTTGGCCGACAAGGCTAGATGGAATGTGATTAAAGAGTTTTCTCAAATATGGACAGTCATAGTACTAGCTCTGCTGTTAAATGCGATATTTGGAATTCTAATTTGGGTATTGGTAAGTAGACGTTGTTTCATGTAAATGAAATTTCAAACTTCTGACCTATGCCGCTTTAACAATAATACCAAGATCCTGTCGAACTCCAAATGTAAAACATGCAATTGTGTCCACTGTAGGCGCCTTTTTGTCTTACACTAATGTAAAAGAACAAGGTGAAGTTCAGTTGGGTAATAGAATAAACAATGTAGATTCAAATTGATTCAACTGAATCTGAAGGAGAAAAAAGCTGAAGCTTTATATGATTTATAGGTCGACAAGTAAGGCGTTAGATTGACTTCATAATTCGGATTCTTCGAAAAAAAGGATAAAATGAACCAATGTCGAGAATGGATCGGGGAAATCCTGAAAGATCAAGTTTTCAAAGAAGTAATGATGTCAAGTAGCATATCAATCAGTAACCCAAGTTTAAACAGCAGAGAAAGACTGCGAAAAATAGGCCAATCCAACGGCTCCTAGCTCCGCGCAAGAATGGCTCGCACTTTTTGTCAAAAGCTTCCTAACGCCCAAGTAAACAAACGACCTTATTTTTTAGGCCCTAATTTCAGGTGTCAATGTATTTAGCAAGAGGAATTTATTCAGTGAAAACTGACGATAAATAGACGGAAGAAAGCAAAGAAACATTGTATATTACAAACGAGCATAAAGCAATCGATTGCGGGGTCATATGGTTTTTAATATGAAATCGGTGTTATCGAGCTGAAATCCATTTAGTTGTCACTTTAACTGGAGAAAAAGTTTGTTTAATGTGATATCATGATTAGTATGGCTCGTAGCTATCTCAATTTCAAGTTGCCAAGTGTCAGCTCCCATTCCAAATTCTTAAAATAGAAATGTTTCAAACTACCCGCATTAATTTCCATGGGGTCTGCCCTTCTATATCCTTTATTTACTGAACGTAACTTCAAAAATAATTCATCTTATACTACAACCAAATAGTCAAACTTGGATAACACTAGACAAGTATTTTTAGTTTATTTATTTTGGATCTCGTTATTTTTTAAAAGGCAGTTTGAAAACCCCCAATTTTACCTTAGAAACTTGTCTTGAAAAAAAAAAAAGAAAAACACACACACACTAACGATTTCTGATGACAAATGCCTTGAATTTACTTTAATTCATTCCATTTCTAAGACAAGCAGGAGTCTACGTTGAGATAAATTAGAGCACAATCTGTTCTTACAAAATGTGTTTAATTAAAAATCCACATGATGTCTTTCACTATGTAAATATATCATTGGCGAATTTGGACAATTTCAAGGAAAATTGCCAATCGCTAACGAAACATTTTAAAGTGCTACTACGATCAAATTTGGGAATTTGTTTTTGATTACATATTTCGAAAATGTATGTAAAAGTGACTTACCGTGCCAAGTTTGGAGTCCAAATATGATCTGGAAGTGTATTTATTTGCACGGCAATTTTCGTAAATGTCTTGCCGCCATTACTCGATTCAAAAAATGACCGGGAGTAGTATTTGAAGGAGTTGGGGCGAGATGTGACGTAGAAACATCAACGCGGCAAAACAAGGCAAACAAACGTGGCTAATTTCGCATGCAGGACGAGATATTTTTGGAAGCTTTTGGAGGTTCTTTCTTCGCTTTTTTGACTTAAAGCGAAAGTATGCCTGGTTGACGTTGTGTTGTTCAGGACTGTGGAAACGTAAAGAACGATGAATTGGGGATTTCTATTCATAATTCTCCTGATTCGGGCAGCGTTAGATTAAAGTGGAAAAGGTTCGTGTCCATTCATCGGAAGGATTTCAACCCAGTGGGAAAATTTGCTGTGTGATCGGAGCATTTTACAAGGGATTGTTTTACGCTTGCTTTTCCGATGAAAGACATGAAAAGGAATTTGAAGAAGGGGACGTTTCCAACCATTTGGAAAAAATCCTCTCAAACACTATCAAAGCGGAGTCGACGATCGGTGAGTGAAATTACAATGTATTTGCGCTGTGCTTATCACCATTATATTTATTCTCCCATTTACCTGTGACATGATTTTTTCTGGCATCGTTGTTCAATATTCGTGTAATGAATGCTCTGACTATTTGGACTTCCCATATTGTTGCATGTGGTTTCATACTTTTCTGCTTTCTTCTCATAGTTATAGTAAAACGGGCATTTGCGCTGAGTGGACGTGAAGTCAATTCCCCAATTCCCAGACCTTTCCACTCAAGCGTAAAATTTAGAAAAAGTGAAGCTACATAGAGATTATGTGGCTGTTACTTGACAGTACTCCAAACTACCCTCCAAGAAATCTTACAGCAAATTAAGAGCGACTTTCTGTATACCACGGATAGGTGTGCAAGATGGAAAAATCGAAATCCCCCAAACTTTGTCACAACAAAGCCCTTTGGAAACTATTTTAGAAAATACAAGACTCAGTTCGTTTGACTTAATATTTTCCAAAATAATAATTTTTTTTAATTTTCACCTTCGAGAGGCCTTCAAACCAACGAAAAATGTGCTTGATACACTCGCTTCGTGAATGGAAACGGAAACTAATACCATGACTTCTCTTATATTAAACAATTTTATGATCCTTCCTGTCTACCTAAACGTTGTTACAATTTCAAAAGATTTCAATCTGATTTTTTAATATTTTTTCAAAATTACCCTCTAAATCAGCATTATCGCCACCATCAATTTTGCCATTTTTCAACGGCGAAAATCCCATCCTGGTACATGGCTTTCATTAGAAAAATGGTATTCCAGAGAAAGAGCAATACTTCCCCTATCAATCTGTGAAATAAAATTCTGGGGCAATTGAAACTGCGAGTTTTTACAACTGAAAACATTTACGGTACTAGCGTGATTTACGACCTCTGAACTTGCAGGTGTATTGATGAACACAAGGGAGAACTTCGACAGCACTTGAAACTCTGGCGCAAATTCGCCCCTTTTCCGCCAGTTTAAACACCAAAAACGATTTTAGATTTCACAGTGGTAAGTTTTCAAAAGGAAAAGCAATTTTATTGTACGAAAGTGTGCTATGAACTTCTTGACTACAACACTTCCCTTACGTGCGTATTTGTTTACTTTTGCCGTATTTGTGACAGTTATCATATATGTACAAACCGCTTTAATGTCGGTAGCTATTCTTTAAAATGCTCTCATTTCTCATGAACCAAACCGTTATAGCTATAAAAAAGGAAAACGTTTTGACCTACCTCGCATTATTTGACAACGACCCGAATCCTTTACTGCCTTCAGCGAAACGAGATTGCGTGACAAAGAACTTTCAGACCCAGGTTATACCGCGAAGACAGATACCATTCCGAAAAAGACGCTCACGCGGCGCCTTCTGTAACTATAAAAGCAAAACATGTAAATAATCAAAATCCTCAGTTTCACTGACTTATCCGCTAGAGCGATTATGAAAACGTAAGACTAAAAAAAATATTTTCCACAAGAGACTATGAAGTGGTGGGCCCTTACAGTCCCTTACTTTCCATAAATGCCTGCTTACACATTTTGAAATACGCATATGAATTCCTTACTTTTATCCTTAGAAAAATGACATTGAGGGTAAAAAAAAGCGCTGATTCGTAGTCTGAAATATCATTCGTCCCTTCCCCCCCAGCCCCTAAGAGGCGGCAGCCCGTTTCGGGTTGGGGCGAAGAAACGCAGACTGGACAGGTCGGGGCTAGAAAACCTGCATAATTTTAGAGCACCTCTTGTGCTAAAAGCAAAGCTTTCTGTACTTCTGGCAACCTCGAGCAAGTTTTGCATTTCTGAGCAACGTTTGGGAAAAATATAGGCTTATGTCAAGCCAGAAAAAAAAATGTCAAGTATGACTGAACCGCGCCCGTATAAGCGCCCCTAACGACTCTGGCAGGGGGGAGGGGGGATTTTGAAATGGAGAAAAGGGGGCCTAGCTCTAAGCATACCGTCTGCGCTTTAGCTGTGAGTCTGCCTTGGAGATAAATTTCGCTTATATTTCGGAGCAAATCTTCAAAGAAGATTGCAAGCCGTATTGTTGCGTCCGTCTGAAACGCTGGAGCGGTGAAACCAGTGATCGCGCCCCTCGCACCTTGAAAAAAAAACCGCTTTTTCTGAGGAGAAAAAAAAGGAAGAAAGGAAACTAAAAAATCAAAAAAGAAGGAAAGGCCGTTCGCACTAACTGAAAGCTATTGTTTTTTGCATTACTATTGAAAATCTGAAAAGGAACAGTCTTACACACGTAGCCCTCGGGGCGGTACCAGGTGAATATATCACATACCCCATCGTTCCAGGTATATAACCTTTACGTGAGCGTAGGATGTAAGACACACTTGCGGATACGCGTAAGCATAACGTGAGATACCCAGGCGTAAAAGAAATAACAGTGGCGCTGCTAATGTTGGCTCCCCTCAAAAATGAAGCGTATTAACGTGGGGTTCAAAAGTGAGATATTCGGATATCTTCGGATAATTGATAGCGAGTTATTTCCAGTCCACGGACTTTCTCCTAAATTTTTCGAAAGTATTTGTTCTCTTAAAAAATCCAGAATTTCGAGATTTGTTGATGGTTTTATACATACGCTAATTATGAAATTCCTTTTGTTTTTTCCTAACGATAAGTTAAATCGGTCAAGAAAAAACAGCTTTCAGTAAGTTAAAATAAGTTTTTTGAAGGCGCGATCTTTGGCTTCATCGCTGAGCGTTCCTGACGGGCCCAAATATACGGGCTTGCAATCTCCTTTAAAGAGTTGCTCGAAACTGTGGGCCAAATTTATTGCCAAGGGAAACGTACAACTGAAAAGCAGGCGGTATGCTTAGAGCTAGGCCCCCTTTGCTCAATTTCAGAGTTTCCCCTCCCCACCCAGCCTCCCCCTCCCGCTGGAGTCATTAGGGGCGCTTATATGGGCGCGGTTCAGTCGTACTTGACATTTTCTATCAAAATGGTCACTTTTTCTGGCTTTACATGTGCCATAACCTACATTTTGGCAAAAGGTTGCTCAGAAATGCAAAACTTGTTCGAGTTTGCCAGAACTACAGAAAATTTAAACACAAGAGGTGCTCTAAAGTTATACAGGTTTTCTAGCCCCGCCATGTCTAGTCTGAAATGTTATGCGTGTCTTCGCCCCACCCCGAAACCTGCTGCGGCCCCTTAGGGGGTGGAGGGAGGGACGGATGACATTTCAGACTACGACTTAACGCTTTTCCCCCCTCAATGTCATTTTTCTAAGAATACAAGTAACGAATTCATAATCATATTTCAAAACAAGCGTGATGAAAACAAGAGACTACAGTGGAACCTCGATTTAACGAAGGGCCAAGGGACTAACAAAATTTCTGAGCCACCCAACGACGGTTTCCTTCTAAATTCATTGAAAACACTTTTCAGTGGTGTACCCAGAGTACTTTTAGATCTCTAGAAATGCATTCTAAGCGGCTTGTAAAATTTGTTCCTCTTCGGTCATCCTAGGGGAACTTGCATTGAGTATTTTCGAAATTACAAGGGCTTCAGTATTATTTTCCCCAACATTTTAGATGAAATTTAACGTATCACGAAAGTGAGAATTTTTCTGATTCCTCTCTCAATCACATGTTTGAATCCGAACATTTTAGGTTTCCTCTTTTCTACGAAAAATTAGCCTAACCTGGGATGTAAAATGGGAAAAATTAAACTTCAGAAAATCGTAGGGAATTTATAAGATAACCTTTGAAAATTGAACGGAATGGTCATCTAGAAATTTTTAGGCGTCCTCAAGCTATAGAAAATTCTAGGCAAATCTACTTCTCCAAACATATATTTTATAGAAAACAGTCGTTGAGTGCCCCTGAAATTTGCTCGCTATAACGAGGTTTCGTTATATCGAGGTTTTTTTTCATACCGAAAATCCTCTATTAAGCCCCCCCCCCGGGGAGGGGGGGGCTTATTTATTTCAAAGCCATTTGAGGGGGAGGAGCTTAATAGAGACGGGGCGCTTAATATATTTAATTTAGAAACCACGATGGTATCGGTTCTCCATAAAGAACTAGAATACAAAGTGGTGAAAGCTCACGTACAAGAAGTTTTAGGTCATGCAGCCGAGGATCATAATCAAATCCGAACTTCCAGTCGGTAAATAATTAACCATACCGGATCTGTCCACACGAAGTTTTACGGTCGTGATTGATCGATCCAGTCTTTCATTTATTAGTGAAGAATAATTAGGGGTGGGAAGCGGGTGCTTGATAGAGGGGGAGTGGGGGAGGGGGCTTATTAACTTTCTTCTCCTGAAAAGGGGGGGCTTATTAGAGGGAGGGGGCTTATTTGACAAGGGGCTTTGATATAGGTTTTACGGTATATTTTACTATTATTGCTGAGGTAAAGAAAATCTTTCGTAAGTTCTTTTGTCGCGGTTCCACTGTATAAGGGCCTACCCCTATATAGTCTCTTGACGAAAAAATATTTCTTTAATGTTACGTTTTTAATGTTAAGTCAACGAAACTAAGGATTTTGATTATTTACATGTTTCGCTTTTATAGCTACAAAAGGTGCCGCGTGAAGTTCTTTTTCGGAATGGCATCTGTCCCCGCGGTATAACCTGGGTCTCAAAGTTCTTTGTCACGCAATCTCGTCTCGCTAAAGGCAGTAAAGGAAGGATTCGGGTCTGTTGTCAAATAATGTGAGGTAGGTTAAAATGTTTTCCTTTTTTATAGCTATAACGATTTGGTTCATGAGAAATGAGAGCATTTGAAAGAATAGCTACCGACACTATTAGCCGTTTTGTACATATATGTACCGAACGGCAAAAGTAAACAAATACGCACGTAAGGGAAATGTTGTAGTCAAGAATTTCATAGCACACTTTCGTACAATAAAATTGCTTTTCCTTTTGAAAACTTACCACTGTGAAATCTAAAATCGTTTTTGGTGTTTAAACTGGCGGAAAAGGGGCGAATTTGCGCCAGAGTTTCAAGTGCTGTCGAAGTTCTCGCTTGTATTCATCAACACAACTGCAAGTTCAGAGGTCGTAAATCACGCGAGTACCGTAAATGTTTTCAGTCGTAAAAACTCGCAGTTTCAATTGCCCCAGAATTTTATTTCACAGATTGATAGGGGAAGCATTGCTCTTTCTCTGGAATACCATTTTTCTAATGAAAGCCATGTACCAAGAAGGGATTTTCGCTGTTGAAAAATGGCAAAATTGATGGTGGCGATAATGCTGATTTAGAGGGTAATTTTGAAAAAATATTAAAAAATCAGATTGAAATCTTTTGAATTTGTAACAACGTTTGTGTAGAAAGGAAGGATCATAAAATTGTTAAATATAAGAAAAGTTATGGTAGTAGTGTCCGTTTCCATTCACGAAGCGAGGGTATCAAGCACATTTTTCGTTGGTTTGAAGGCCTCTCGAAGGTGAAAATTAAAAAAAATTATTATTTTGGAAAATATTAAGTCAAACGAACTGAGTCTTGTATTTTCAAAAATAGTTTCCAAAGGGCTTTGCTGTGATAAAGTTTGGGGGATTTCGATTTTTCCATCTTGCACACCTATCCGTGGTATTTACAGAAAGTCGCTCTTAAGAGTTACACGGGTTTCTTTTAAAAGGACCAAAAATGGACTTAGTCTGATTTCTACAATCTATAAGTTCAGTTACTGTTTGCGGTTTTTTTTTTCGTTTGTATTTTAATTCTATTTTCACTGTCTGCAAATGTTGCATACATTTTAAGGCAAAGATGTGGTTAAACCTTGCTTCCATTTCTAGTTTTGAAAACATCGACATAAAGCTCAAATTTAAACTTGTTTTGAAGGGGAGATATAAAAAATGGTCTTACCTATTTTCATTTTTAGCTACTAAATGAAATTCTGGCTGGTCAAACTACTAATGAGGATACAGAGGAAGAAGACAATCCTGAAGAAGAGGTGATCTCTTTGAAAGGAAGTTCTGCACCTGAGGAGAGTGCTAACACTATGGGGGCTCCCAGTCTCAACCCTGAGGAGTCTCCAGAAGTCGAGGGTGTTCTGAATACAAGTCAGGGTTCTTTGCTTGAGGCAAATCCTGAAAATGAGGGCTGCATCCCTGAGACTGAGACGGGTGAGATAAGTGTTGAGGCTGAGATGGCTTCAGAGGTCCTAGGTACTCCTGGTGATGAGACAGCTCTCGAGAGCCAAGGGATTTCAGGCACTGATGAGGTTACTGACACCATGCAGATCCTGGAGGCTCAGGGAATCGAAAAAGTGCAGGATATGGATGAAGTTATGCAGATTGATGAATCATTAACGATTCCTGAACTTGAACAAGTTTCTGTGGTAGGCGCATAACTCTAATTAATGTTTATTTGCATCTTTGTATTATCATAACAATGGAAAACTACATGTGCAGTTATTTTACAACAATACTAAAACACAAAAATTCTAAAGTCTTGTTATTACAGCCCGTATTAATGTTGAAAGTTTGTTTTTTGTAGGATACTCCAACTGGACATGCTGGGAATTGCGCAACATGCAAAACCCTGAGGAGTGAGGTGACTCAGTTAAGGGGCAAAGTCACAAGACTGAAGAGTAAGTTAATCTCCAATCAAGATCAGTGGGTTGAAACCTTTAAGACTATACAAGAGCCGAAGCAGTTGCTGATGGTGAATGCTGGTGAGTCAACAATAATTGATGTTGATGAGTCATACAGGCATCTGCCTATCTGTATATTTTTATTATATTTTGGCCCAGTGCAGCCACTTCTAATACGTGGCGGTTTAAGCAGACGCTTTCAAACCCTGGATGGAGGGTTATGCATACGGTCCGGTCTCCAATGGCTTCTTCCATGACCTCTTCGCAGCGATCGATCTCTTTGCAGCAAATGCACTCCTGCGCTTTTGTAACAAGGCTGACAGAGCAGTTCGAGCACGAACACCTGCAAAATAATGTGAAAAATTCGTCAAACACAAGAAAAATACGTCTGTATAAAATTATTAATTGTCTGACCTCTTCAATAAAACTATCGCATAAAATCAGGACTACAGCTAATCACATAGCAACGAAATTGTAAACTTAAACAAAAAACATAGTCGCGTTCGTCACGCGCACGATTTAACGACGGGTATGTTGAAATTGGAAAATATAAATATAAATCTACATTCCATGATAATACCATACCATTCATTCGCTGGCACCTCTCCCGAATATCTTCGTTGAGACTGTTGTTCTTCTTATTCTTCGCGATGAACTCTTTCGTTGTAGTCCGCGGCTTCTTCCTCGGTAGCAAGGGGTTCGCAACTGTCGTCGTTCGGCGCAAATTCAGACAATTCCCGGAAAAATTTCCGTATAACCCCATACATTAATTATGCATTCTATGTCATTAATTATGCATCCACCTTATTGTCTTCTAAGACAATGGTGAATTCCCCAGAGTATTGCATTATATACATCGGTAATGAATACTTACTGCGTTAATAAAAGAGGATTTCAATTTCTGTCTTTTTTTTATCTTTTTCTACTCGTCTCTTTCTCTTTTTCCCCCTCTCATGCACCTACCACTCTCTCCAGTGCCCCCCGGTTTCCTTTTCCTTTTTTTTCTCGGTAGTCGGCGAGACTTGAACCAACGCTTCCCTGTAGCTCTGGCGTACCTGTCTCTCTGCCATACCACTAGCTAGACCACGACGATTTGTTGAGATTCCCTGGTCAAAAAACTGATATCTTTTTGCGTTCTTAAGTTCAAATATACATAACAAAAGAACTGAAATGTGTATTCATGTAAATTATTCACGCTTTTGCTTGTAACATATCCACGAAAACATGCATCTCTTCAGGTAATAACAAGCACGCACAGGCTTCACAAGCACTCCTCTCTTGTATTACACTTGTCAGGGACTTGGTCAACTTTCATGTTTAGTATGGCTCAACTAAATTTTTAAAAAGCTCTCCAGAATACTTGTGGATCATGACCGCGACCGGTACATAGATTGGTGTAAGGAAAACATAAGCTGCCCTTTCAACTTCTGTTAAATGTGCAAGAGCTTTGGGAGCGGACTTAAATGAAAGCTGATTCACTCAGTTTCCTAACCCTCATAACTAAACTTCAGGGTCATTCGGCGTTTTTCAAAAATACCCCGGCCGTTGTCCAAGAAGAGCAGGAATAACGAAACTCATTTTGGTCATCATTCGTGCTCAAATTTTGGAGGTGTACAGACATGATGAGCGACGATTATGGGTCTTATGAATATCTACAAGAGGAGGGCTAGGAACAGCCCAAGCTTCGTAAAATACACCCAGCTGACACAGGTGCCGATCGACACGCAGTGCATCGAAAATAGATGGAGGGGTAAAGCATGGTTTGCCCTGTACAGGAACATTCAAAGCAACTACTGACAGGAGTTTTAACTATGTGGCGTAGGCATTACGGTGAAGTTCTCTTTGAAAACATAGTAAAGCATATCGTCGAACTTTATAATGACATTGGGAACGACGCATAAAGGGCTAAATAAAACAGACAGATCAGACGTAGGAGGAGGCGGTGGAAACTCGAAAATATAGTTCACGTATGGGGTTAAACGGAAATCTTGCCCAATTCCCCAATCACTTCGTCAACTGTAAAACTTTCTAGATCACTTTCAGATGTGCAGGAAGAGGAACCCGACGGAGATGACATCTTCAACGTCTTGTTAAAAGGCTCTAAACTTACAAACTTTTCCCAAATGCGAATCTTTTGGTTGATGTTTCTACGTCACAATGCATAAATCACGTGGTCAAACTCACGACCGCTTTGCGGAGATCTCGCGGGCTATTGTTTTGCGAACTTTGTAATGGCGGACGGTATTTGCGCACTTTTCAGTGGGAAATTTCCAGCCCCCGTACGCAAGTATCGTTCCAATTTTTCGCTATTTGTATAATTTTGAACATATACAAAAGATTTATGTTAAAAAAACTCGGAAACAAAAACAAAAATTTTCGTCGTAGTAGCACTAAAAGGAAAGAAAAGTGTAGAAGCATCATTGGAAATTCATGAGCATAAGTACTGCAGTTGCGCGCGTTACCTGACCTTCTCTAAATTACCATCAAAGTCCAAAGTCTATGATCAAAGTAGCCGAGTAGTTTCTTGAAAGCACGCAGGATGACCTTTGTTATTATTAGAAGCTCTAAATACCCACATCTTTTGACATATCATTTGCATTTAAATGCCATAGAATTAAACGAAACGCACCTTTGTAGAGACAACGAAACAACAAAAACAAAGAAAGAAAGCGGATGTTTCGACCATGGTTAGGAAATGTGTTCCTATTTTGTTGCCATCTACCATACACCATGTTTGTAATAAACTGGAAAAAAAAAGAAGAAACATGTTATTAATTATTGAAATATTCGATGTCCTGTTTAATTTCGACTCTATTCTTGCGCAAAGAAAGAGACTCGAACTTAAGTTGGTAGTCATCCTTCAGTTCCGATCACAGTGAACTGAAATGAAGCTCTTGACGAAAATAAATACTAGCTAAAGAAGCTGACGTAACGTTACCATTGCCATGAGCTACAAAAGTCCCAAACGTCTTTCAAGTTTTTTCAAGTTGAGGTTACAAGGGCACCCAACGGCAATTTTCGGGAAAATATCTGTTCGGAAGACGATTTGAGATCTAGAATTTTCGGAGCATTTCTTGCAAAATTTCTTGCTTGCCTGCCTCTCCTGGGATTTTCGAACATCTACAAAATGGTATAATTACTCATTTTAACGGATTTTGACCCTAAAAAAGGCCACCTAGAATTTTCGGGAGCCTTTTCATGGCTGAAATTTTCGAGAAGGTAAGTTTTTATCCCTATAATTTTCGGATCACTAGATTTTCAGCTAGGAAATCCGAACAGATGACAAGTTTTTAGGGGATAAAAATATGCGTATATCTACCGTTTGAATACTAAAATACGTTCAACAATGCTATGTTGCCCCTGAGGTTACGTAGATCAAAGAATTCTGAATTGATCTGGGGCTTGCACTTAAAATGATAAACTTTCTAACGGCCACTTTCCATGAAAATGAGTTATCACTGGCTTAAACGTCATTTTACTTCCTTTTCTAGACCCCAATTGTAAATTGGTTGGAATGAGCAAATAAAGTCGTTTTCCTAATGTGTTGCTTGTCTCGCCTCGACAATGTAAAATTAGCGGAAATAAATTGTGACCCTTTTCAAACCTTGCATTAAGGATAAAGGGAATTATTAAGTAACATGAATCGTGTTTAGGTATCATACTGCGGGCATTAGTTAATGTAAAGTAGCCTGCTAGCAAGCTCTCCTGTTTGGGCGAGTAAAACGGGTCTCGCGAGAACGCGCGAGCGAGCGGCGAAGCCGCGAGGGGCAGAGGAAAGGAGAGCTTGCAACCATCCCTTACAAATTTTCATTTGTACTTCGCCCAGACGAAGGGAAATACCATTGGCTGAAAAATGACGTTCCGGAAATCAAAGTTGATTGATAACAGGCCTAGCTGGCACCCGCTTCGTCTGTGTGTCAAATTTGGTTCTCAGGGGGATCAGATTGGTACGGAGAACTTGTTTCAGCCCTCAATGCAGACGGGCTCGTTAATTCTCGCAAAGAGAATATTGCATGTCGAGGATAAGTCGGACCGAGTTTGTAGTTCTTGTGGAAGGAAAATCAAAAACCCTTCATCAGTTGTATTCATTTGTGTTAAGCGCCTTGTTTAGTTCTGAAAACCGGCAGAGTGAAAGTGAAGAGTGATTAAAGCGCTGTCTTCCAACATCGGTTTCTTCGCCCGATTGAATTCTGCTGGGTAGAAAAATTCAGAAACATGTACTTGACAGTGTAGCTGTGTAGCTTGACCGTAAAGAAGGAAAAGAGAAAGAGTTGGAAGCAACTGGAGTAAACCTTAAGAGAACCAAGTGCAGGAAAACGCTATTCTCCAGTTCCAGACGGACAAATAATTTTTTGTTGGTGATTGCGATGGGGAGTAGTCTTCTACACTGCAGTATGGACGACTTTTCAAAGGTAAACGAAGTAAAGAATCAAAGTAGTGAGTTCTTATCTGAGCGGACACGTTGAAGTTCGATGTCCCCGTGAAAAAAAAAAAACATATCAGTGATTAAAAACATTGCCTTGATGCTGTTGCGAAAGCGATTTATAAATAAATAATTCTACGCTACCAGGAGCCTATCAAATGATAGATCAAATGATGGGCTCCTGACGCTACTTGACAGGCGGTTGTCACTTTTGTAATCTGCGGCACGTTTGCGGTGACAGTTTTCACGCTTTGCGGAGTCCCGGGGTTTCCGGGGTGGAAATGAAAATTTGTAAGGGATGGTTGCAAGCTCTCCTTTCTTCGGCCCCTCACTCGCGCGTTCTCGCGAGGCTCGCTTCGCTTGCCCAAATAGGAGAGCTTGCTCGCAGGCTAAATGTAAACCTACTTTACAGGCAGTGTACATATCATATTTCTTCATCTAATGATAAGCCTTTCAAGCTCCTCCGCCTGTCAAAACATCGTATATTTTATGCAAAAGAGAAAAGTTTACGAACATCGCCCTATCTCTGTTAAATTTTTCCTTATACATATTTCAATGAGCTGCAAAAAAGTTGAGTTGAGTACACGTTTAGTACACATGCATACAAGAACTCTTACGTGGGCTTTGTAATTTCTTACAGTTAAGTAACATGCAGTGATGCTACGATCGTCATTCTTGCAGTTTTCAACAATTATATCATGATTGCCATGTACAGGGGTCTGCTTGCGGTTTTAGAAATGATGTGGACATATCTTGTATAACTCAAGAGAGAACATGATAAGGAGAGGGGTTCTTAAGCTCCTCAGAAAAGCATTTCTTGAGTGTTACCATAGATAGATACAACCGAGAAAAAAGGGAACACAAATATCACTTGAAGGCCCAATCGCCTTCTCACAGGCGAAACCTTTAAAAATATCAAATAAAATTCTATCCTCATGGATGATGAAAGTTAGATCAATTTGCCATTCCAAATTTTATAACAGGTGATAGCTTTAAATATTCATCTTCGCTAGCAGTAAGGGAAAATTGATAGATATATACAATACAATACAATACAATACTTTAATTTATTCAAGAGATAGAAAACAAAACAAAAAATCTCTCCATAGGGGATATCTATATAAAAGACTCCCCAAAGTAAAAGAGAAAAAATTTAAAATCTAACATCCAAAACATTATATATACGGCGAAAAAAAAGCTAAAAACTAAAAACTAGAATCAAAAATAATATTTGCATATCGTAATTGAAACGGTCTAACACGGAGGTTTTTTTTTCTAGTCCGCTGTTAAATGTAACCGCTTTCTTCCCTCAGATTGGAGTATCATAATGCTGCTTGAACACTGGAAGAACTAAGAAAAAAACTTTGAAAAATGTTACTTCGCACTTATCTCTGCGATTCTAAACAATTTTTAAGTCAAAAAAATGAGAAAATACAAAAATCAAACAAACGAACGTAATCTAGAGAGGGTTTGACAGACATGTCCAAGAATTGATAAGCGTGACCCAACAAATTGGAGACACTTTCAGAATGGAATTGGAATTTCGAATGTCGGTTTTGCGCACGCGCGGACGTCATGTACAGGAAAAAAAGAAGAAGAAGAAGAAGAAGAAAACGAAGAAGCAGCAAGCAAGATTTTCACCGCCAGACTGCAACGCCGCTCGCCTGTGAGACAAAGACAGTGTTGCGACTCTTTCTCCCTCGACCGCTTTGCTCCCTAAAATTCGCTCCACTCGCTTCACGGCTTTTTTTGTGAAACTTGTGAGGTCGACTTGTGGCAGGTCTATTAATATTTACTCACATTCTAGACCTCAGAAGTTCCAAATGCATGAATAAAAATAAAATCCAAAAACGAGGATAAAGTCTGAGGATAAAAGCAGCATACGTACCTTTTGCTGGCCTTTCGTCAATAAAAAACACCACGGGAATGGACGGGGGGTCGACAATCGGCTTTAGATGACAGGTGGATTCATTTGCAACATACGCGTATAGCTGTCGCATTTGCCCGCTGGAATTTTTATTGTTTTTATGCCTATAAACAATAAAAAACTCCAGCGGGCAAATGCGACAGCTATACTAGTATGTTGCAGATGAATCCACCCAACGATTGGTTGAAGACAGGATAAGCACGGGACTCACAAACACGCACACGTGGATTCTCTGTCCTGTATCACGTGTTCGCTCGAAAACAATGCATTCTATGTTCTGCATTACGTCATAAAAGTTAACTTACACTACCTGTAACCACTACCCTGTTACATTGCGTCGAAATTCATTCTGCCCTGGAACTTTCCCGCACGGCTTTATTACAGTAGGTTGCCGCCTCGCAGCCTCGCGTCTTCGCGAGGCTACTCGTTGGCAATCATGCCATTTTTGAACCCATTCTTTTGAATTCGCGACATCCTGTCAACAAATCAAAGTTTTGTGCATGGGCAGTAATGGGCAGTAACTGGATTGTGTTTCTTCAGCGGCTTGTCTTTAGTAAAACCCTCACAACGAACACTCGTTGTCAAGGGAGGATAAAGCTTTATCCTCTCTTGTCGTTGTAAATAAGCATAAATTTGTTCATGACACATGAAACATGATTACGTAAACTGAAGTATTTTATTTCAGGACGGCAGAATTTTAGAATTTCGAAGCATTTTGCGTGGTTACCTGGAAGGAATTTGGTGGGGCTTTCTTGCCATGATAACGGCCGGGTAAGTGCTTGAAAGCTCCAGACCAAACAGACGAAAAGATAGATCATCTAATGTTAAGAATGTATAAAAACCCATGTACGATTTCAGTATTGTAAAAGTTATGGTCGTTTGGATCAACGCATATGCGACTCTAATGCGATATTTTCAGCTCTAGCGTAACGGATCTATCTCAAGCAGATTTTGTCAAAAGTACGGCCTACCTAATTCATTACTGGCACTGACTCACAAATCGAGCCATATTCTAATCCCTGAGATACCGGATTCCATGAAATTCCATTAAATGTGCTTTAGCAACTGCTGGTATGCGGCCATCAGTATTTGAATGCAATGCTAACAATCCGAAGCTCAAAACAGGTCGGTAAAACAACTGTCCAGACGTGGAAGTTTGCCCAAGAATCAGAATATCAACCAAGCAGGTTTCATTTTGGGTCAGAAAATTGAGATTTAAGAGCTATAACCTCAGAAAACCTTCCATTCAACCGCGTCTTCAAGGTCAAACACAGGTTGAAGCGGAGATGTGAAAATGTGGAAATAGGGAACACTGGAAGTGCGGAAATCCGGATTATCCGGAAGAAGGGCAAATCTGAAATCGATAAGAAACCGAAGCAAAGTAAGAAAAAAAAAACAGAGATCGCTGCATCCGTGTTTTAGGGCTTCTTCTTGGCGTCTGAATGAAAGCCGATCTATAAAGTCGCTCCCAAGCCAAAATTCCCGGCCTGTCTAGGCGGAAAGAACGGCTGAGCAGTTCTAAATTGGAACAGGCGTTCCTTATTGATTCAGACGCCGAACTTTCACGTAATTAATTCAATTTATTAGGTTCGGCTCAAGAAAAGTACGGCGTCTGAACCGGGCCTAGAAACTGCTGGTTCGCGGCTTTATTTGAATACCATGCTAAAAATCCGAAGCTCCAAGGAGATAAAAACTGTGTCACATTTCGAGATAAATAGCTCGGTAAAACAACCGTCCAGAGGTGAGAGTTCATCCGAGAACCATAAAATCAACTAAGCAGGTTTCATTTTGGCTTGGAAAATTAAATTTCTGGACGAACATTGCAGCTAATCCTAAAACAAAGTGTCTGAGCGCTATTCTTGGCCATGTGGAATCGGCAAACTACTCCATTATCAGAAGCAGACTTTCTCTCCTTCGTCGTATTAAACCATATTTTAATTTTGATTCTTCTTTACTTTTTTATAACTCTTGTGTTAACAACTACGTTATATACTTTACTTATTGCTCTGCTGCCTGGGGTAACTGTTCCACCATCTTCTGTTATGTCCCAGTTCGTGTGCTCCTTCACTGACCCGACTTCTCTCAGGCGTGTGAGAAAATTATTGCGTCATTGTGGCGGGAAAACTGGTCAAGTGAGAACTGAATTTTGCACAAGAGTCTAGGAACTGTGTAGTAGTTCGCAGTCGTGGAGCTGATCGAGTGTGTAGATTGAGTATAGATCATCGAAATTTTACGCGAATTGATGGCGATTGATTATTTACGTGTAGAACAGAGTACGGAATTCTAAAATATGGCGGAACATGTCAAGAAATATACTTTCAAGGGAGTGAAGAATTAAATGCTAAATGGAACTGGTTGTATCACACATAATTTGTTACAAGGCGTCAATTTCCTTATTGTCAAAACCACAGCGGATCTCCGTTTTGGATCTTCTTAAATACAGGGAAGTTTTGCTCCCAAATGCCTCAAAAATAGATTTCAAGTCCTCTCCGTTTCACGTGGACCTTTAGGCCATCTTACAAGAGCCTTTCTTTATGACCGTCTAAAGCTACCATACCCACATAGCAATTCTGAGAAACGCACATTGGCCTACAGCGCTTCTACACTTTCAATGATCTGCCTTAAAGGTTACTTTTAATTAGGTCTTCTTCTCTGCGGTCATCCAAATCTCTTAATTTTATCCTTTCCTTCATTAAGTGTAAATTACCACTTCTCGATATTTGAACTTTTTCCGTACGATTTACATATTCACGCTACGCGCTTCAGAGAATATCCATTGTCCTTATTTATTTTTTTTATTATAATTAGAGGATATTACATGGCCCCGTGGAGATACGAAATTTCTCTTCGAGTCATGAAAAATATTTCACAAGTGAGCACAGCGAAAGAGTGTAATATATTTTTTCAAAACGAGAAGAGAAATTTCATATCTCCAAGCGGCCATGTAATGTTCTATTTATCATAGAAACACCAATGAAATACCAAACGATTTCACTTTTTTAAAATAGTTTTTGCTGTGAAAGGCATAATTAATAAGGACTTGCCCCTAGTGCCACCATTGGGTGTAAATATTGGTCTTAAGGTTTTGGAACAAATAGCTGTTTTATGTACGCGGATAACGTAAAATTCTTCGTTGTTCAACCGTTTACTGATCCTTTGAGGGCCTTTTCCTCTAAAAAATAAAGTGCTACCTTGAAAAACATTACAGGGTAGCATTAGCAAGTCCATATAGGCAACGTTTGCTGCTATATTTATTCTTTTACTCGATCCCTGGGCTGGTTTTCACTAGCGACGGAGTCGGAGTCGTAACCGGAGTCGTAAGAACGCTTATGGCCTAGTGAAATCAAAAATCGGAGGCGTAAGCAGAGTCATAAGCACGATGGAATGAGAAGAATCAGAACGTACATTTGTACTGTCGCAATTTGTAATAATCATCGCACTTTGTAATACCTGTCGCAATTTGTAATAAACCGTGTCGCACTTTGCAATAAAAAAGCTGTCGCAATTTGTAATAACTGTCCATCGCACTTTGTAATAAACTAAGTTGTCGCAATTTGTACGTAATAATTCCATCGCACTTTGTTATAAACTTAAATTATTTTCTTTGGCCAAACATGCATGTCCTCCGTTATAAATTCTTCTGCCTTGATTAATCATGTGACCAACGAGAATCGCTTTTTTATGAAAGACATGAAACTTCCTGTGACATGTCAACAAAAAAAGATATGAATCATTTTATGAATTTGAATTCAAAATATTTAAATAACAAAAGCAACATTTAACAACAAAAAATTCATGAATAACCTGGCATTGTCTTCCAAATCCATCTTCAGTTTGCTTGCCACGTGACACGTGAAGTCTTGGGGCGGGGGGGGGGGGATAATCCCATATATGGGCGAGATAGGTAAGTACCGCTTAGGATCTCGAACCTTAAATAGGGTATCATTTTTTACTTCGTTGGCTTTGTGTCTTTGGTTTGATCCTTAGATAGGGTAACTTAAGTAGTAATGGATGATTTGGTTTATTATCCTTTCCATTTTGTAGAAAAAAGTAATCCTAAGCACGCTCGGAAGAATTGCAAGGTCTTACGTGTTGTACCAGGGGAAAGATAATTTTTTACTATCCCCACAGTATTTGCCTTAAAGGGCTCCATAGAAAAAAATTGTTTTAAGATGGAATGATACTCCTTTAGTTCCTATATGGGACCAAATCAAGAGAGAATAATGGACCAAATGGTCAGCCGGCTCAGTGTATGACCCCAAGTGAGTTTTATAAAAAAAGGAACAGTACATAGGTCTCGGACAGCGACTAATTGTATTTTGTGTTTACGTTTCTGTTGTGGTTCGACAGTGTTGCAGACCTCGCCTGATTAAGTTGGCCAAAATATGGAAGCCACTATTACTTCTTTTAAGATTGCGCGTTAGACAAGGACGGTGTTGTGTCGACCTGTTATAAGATCTAAAAAGGAAAGCTTGAACTTTCCTGGTGTTCTTATTTGAATGATGTAAGGATGGATGTTACGATTTTTTAAAACCTTTTAAATGTCTAGTTTTAATAGTGGCTCGTTTGCACATCCCCGTATTGTATAGGGTCCCCGGGTGTCTAGATTTTGTACTCGGACAATGCTCTGTCCGGAGGCACATCCCCGTATTCGCCATATAAGAGGGTACGTTCCCCCGGGTGTCAGGTTTAAGAATACAGAATTTCGTAAGTCAGATAACTAATCAACATTGATAAAAAAATATGTTTAGCCCCCCTAGGACCCCCAGGACCGTGAATAAAGTTAAATGGTTTAAATAATCTGAGATATAGATTATATACGTAATTTTGTAAGTTACGTGCTTGCAGACGTCATCATCTTTGTTTATGAAATACCATTCATATTATCTTAATGTTGACGAAGTAAGTTGAATTACTCTCAAAAATTATTACAAAGTGCGATGGAATTATTAAAAATTACGACAGCTTAGTTTATTACAAAGTGCGATGGACAGTTATTACAAATTGCGACAGCTTTTTTATTACAAAGTGCGACACGGTTTATTACAAATTGCGACAGGTATTACAAAGTGCGACGAATTTATTACAAATTGCGACAGGTATTACAAAGTGCGATGATTATTACAAATTGCGACAGTACAACGTTTCTATTTTTTCCGACTCCGCTTACGAGTCTGTCACTTAGGTCCCGCTTATGATCTAATGAAAACCAGATTGTTGGAGTCGGAAGCAGAAGCGGAAGGATAAGCCAATCACAATGCATATTCCCACGCTTTGTGATTGGTTTGGTTCTTCTGCTTCTCCTTGCTACTCTAGTTTTCACTATATAAGTGGAACGTAAGCGACGGAGTCGTAAGCGCAGTCGGAACGCTGTTTTCACCAGATCATAAGCTCTACGCTTCTGATTACTACTGCGACTACGACTCCGACTCCGTCGCTAGTGAAAACCAGCCTTAAGGCGGTTACCCACTGCGCACTGCCCCAAAACGGAAAATTAAAGCCATGTCAAAACCTTGCTACTCCAAAATGACCCGTGACTAAAAAGAATACCTGGTTCACTAGCCTTGACGATTTCCCCTGATTTAATAAAAGATTTTCCCCTCTCCAGCAATTTGTGAAGTTTGGGAAAAGGACAACCTCCGATCGTAAAAATAGTCAAAGGGATCGAATAAGATGGGAAGAGAATAAGAAAAAATGAAGCGCAATTCACAAGGAGGAAGGTCAGTAAAATTTGAAGAAGGCCTTCCTCCATATGCTCAAGCCCTCTTCTCTCCTCTCTAGGTAATGATCGGTTTTCTCACCGGCCTCCAAACTAAAAAGCCCAGACAAACAAGCTGGCTTGGTCTCCTAGATCTCGCCACACTCAGTTTCGTATATAGCCATCTTATGTGGAGTGTAGCTAAATGTCGTGGGTCGTGGGTCGTGGGTCTTGGGTGTGGGTCGTGGGTGTGGGTGTGGGTCAAAAAAGTGTAGAAAAAATGATAAATTAAAGTATTTGAAAAAAAAAAGGAAAAACATTGTAAAATATTTATGAAACGAAAATCTCAAACTCCTTAATTGCCTTTTTCGTCAGAACTTCTTCGTCCTCTTCCTGATATTTCCTTAGCTACGTGGGACTTGGCTACCCTTTCACAACATCACTGTATAAAAGGCATGTTGCCGATGAAGATTTATCCATACCTGAGCTATCGCCGCGAAATAAACGAAACAGACGTAAATGACACCTGCAATTTGCAGAACGTGCTGCTCTTTATTAATCTTTATTCGATCTACCATTCCAATGATCAGCTGAGATTTTTTAACCCGATGGAATGTGATCACCTTGAGAAAAGGGGAGGGAAAAAGGACAATTTTGAGGTATTTCATATCTTTGGATAGAAGTCTTTCTTAAAGAAGTTTTAGGTCTCTTACCTTACGAAGGAACCACCATCATTCCTAACTTTTCAAGTTAAGGCGAAACTGTATGTAAATTTTATTGCCGTACGGAAATACAATTTTCTCGTTTTGTTTTTTGTTTTGTTTTGCGTACAAAATCTTTGCTGTAACGATTCGACATAGCATTCCTTAAACTTAAACATTCAGTCACGAATGTTGACATCTTTGAGAAAAAGCAGTTCAGTCTCCAGTTTTTCTATAGCCTGCTTCAGGTTTACATAGTGTTTAAAGAGTTTCTTTCGGTGGTTTTTCACCTAAATGCCTTTTTAGCGTCCGTTTGTACTAAAGGACTAGCTTATTAGCTTTGCTGACCGCGAGGAAGGGGAACATGACTAGTATGTACGCGGAGATTTTCGTTTCATGAATGTTACAACTTTTTGCTATTTAATTTTTATTTTTTTACTTTGTTTGGAAGACTTTCTTTTTACCCACGACATTTACCCACATCCACAGAGGGTCGTGGGTCGTGGGTAGTGGCCACGACATTTAGTTACACTCACTTATGTGAAGTATTAGTCAGAGGTGTAATATGTTAGCGCAAATCGTATGTTTGTGACAGGTCAATGACATTTACTGTTTCTTATGGAGCATATTTGCCGAACACAATCGATCGTGCAGCCGCGTTTCACTGTTTAGTAAACAGTTTACAGCTTGCTTGTTTGTAAGGTTGAATATTCTAAGTGTGGATGTCTCAGCGTCGAGAAGAAGCCGTAACAACACGGATGCAGCTATCTCTGTTTGTCGTTTTTTTAATTTGGCTACGGTTTCTGGTTGATTTCAGATTTGCCGACTTCCGGCTGATCCGGATTTCCGCCCTTCCGGTGTTTCATATTTCCAGGTTTCTAGATCTACCTTTTACGTGTCAACCGGTATCGCGAGCTGTATCGGTGTACTTTACCATGGGGAAAATTGTAATAGAGAGCCAAAAAATTACTCTCGAATACTACAGCCCACGTTGTTATTGGTCAATAGGTGACCTTACCTGACGCACTTGCTGGGTCGTTTGCAACCTCGTTCCCAGGGTTCTCTCCTACCCGCCCTACGGAGCGAGAGAGAAAGAGACCCTGGAAAACGCTGGTCACGTGTCTCCCAGAATCTGGGAGATTACAAACAAACGATTTGGGGGAAGGCAGGTAAGTGTGAGATTTGTCTCTACAGAGCGTAGACAGGTCAGTGCAGCCATCAAACTGTGTACCTGACCTGATCTTGAACGCGGAAAATAATGCACAAAGTCCTTTGACAGCGAAAGCGTAACTTCCTGCAGAATATCTGGGTGTTAATCGGATGTTCATCAGAATATCAATTTTCGGCAAAATATCTGTTCGGAAGACGATTTGAGATTAATCGGAACATTTGGATGTTCATCTAAAATATGGCGACGGATTTTTACCCTAAAAAGGTCATTAGAATTTTCAGGAGCCTTTTTCTGGCATACGTTTAACAATGCTATGTTTTAGTGGTTTTGAACTATATTCTCGTTGGGTGCCCCTGATCTCGGAGGATTCACCGTTTGTTCAGTCAAAAATAATTTAGGTAACCTGGTAGCAGTATTCATAACGAAACGCGCTAGATTTGAATTGCCGTTTATATGTTGTGGAGGCCACTTTAGAAAACAAATGTACAGTATCTGTATTTGTTTTCAAGACTACTATTATGCAAGGCGACGAAAAAATGTATCAAGCGTTGGTGTCTTCACCCGCGACATCGAACCGCCTCGAAGCAACAGGAAGAGAGAATACGCGGCTCGGACAGTCAGGCTGATTGTTAGCTATTGTTCAAATGGAAAGAGGTAAAGAGAATCTTGGAAAAATATTTTTAGCCAATTCTCTGTGTTTTTGCATTTTTTTGTCGTCGTTTATAATTATCAGGATGGCCGTAAGCGTCTTTGTTAAAAAATACCGTATGATATGGCTTGCACAACTGCCAACCGTTTATGGTTCCTTATTATTTTTCTGGATGTTTAGGAATGCTTTAGAGGATTTTTAGAAATCACTGAGCCACATGTGTTTTTAAATAAAGCTTTCATATTGGCCATAAAACAAGAAAGCCTTTCGCTTGGAAGGTTATGTTGTCTGTTTTGTCTCTGTTTATACTATTTCCTTTCAGTCCACAGGCGGCCCAAACTCATTACATGAACGCGGACGTGACTCATGCTTGCGAGCGGTGTTGTGTTACAAACGGTTATTTACAACGGCTTGTATGAGATGTAAACGGTTTCTCTTAAAAGAGAGAAAAAATGTTATGTTTTTAAATAAAGTCGACGTACCTTATGGCCTTGTTGTATTCTTTGTTGTTTGCCTGCGTCTCAGGCCGTTTTGAAGCGTTTTCGGCGAGTTAGCGCTATTTTGGTGTTCCACTGCTAAAAGAAAGACATGGCAGAACTGTGATTCCAGGAGTGTCCGTCGCTCGAGGCGAATAATTCCACTGGAAAATTACCCCCGGCCTCAATTCCTTCAGAAATTCAAAGCAGAGATGTTGCAGTTCCATGTCCATTCACTCGATTCGTAATTCCTCCCACAGATCGTTCACTAGCGATGCGATGATGTAATGAGTTTGGGCTGCCTGTGGTCAGTCTTACATGTCGCGTTGGTATATAATTATTTTTATCTTTTTATCTTTTACCACTTTTTTGCCTCATCATGACAAAGGTTAGGGGGTGGAAAATGCTGACATTTTAGGCTATAGCTTTCCGTGAAGTCACTAGACCTAAAATATTACTTTGATCGTAAATGTATTAACTGAATTTCTTGTTCTCAATGTAACACAGGCAGCCCAAAAAACTCATTACATGAACGCGGACGTGACTCATGCTTGCGAGCGGTGTTGTGTTACAAACGGTTATTTACAAAGGCTTGTATGGAATGTAAACGGTTTTTCTTAAAAGAGAGAAAAAATGTTATGTTTTTAAATAAAATCGACGTACCTTATTGCCTTGTTGTATTCTTTGTTGTTTGCCTGCGTCTCAGGCCGTTTTGAAGCGTTTTCGGCGAGTCAGCGCTATTTTCGTGTTCCAAAGCCCGGCGAGGGTAGACAGCGGGGCTAACGGGTTTGTTTGTTTGTCGACTGCAGGCCGCTGTCTACCCTCGCCGTGCTTATTTTAGTTACCCGACATACTATGCGATCGGTGAACGGGTCCGTGGCAGTTTCGACGAGCCTAGTTTGAAATTTGGAAGCCGATCGAGCAGGAGATGAAAGCATCGCTAGTGAACGATCTGTGGGAGGAATTGCGAATCGAGTGAATGGACATGGAACTGCAACATCTCTGCTTTGAATTTCTGAAGGAATTGAGGCCGGAGGTAATTTTCCAGTGGAATTATTCGCCTCGAGCGACGGACACTCCTGGAATCACAGTTCTGCCATGTCTTTCTTTTAGCAGTGGAACACCAAAATAGCGCTAACTCGCCGAAAACGCTTCAAAACGGCCTGAGACGCAGGCAAACAACAAAGAATACAACAAGGCCATAAGGTACGTCGACTTTATTTAAAAACATAACATTTTTTCTCTCTTTTAAGAAAAACTGTTTACATCTCATAGAAGCAGTTGTAAATAACCGTTTGTAACACAACACCGCTCGCAAGCATGAGTCACGTCCGCGTTCATGTAATGAGTTTGGGCCGCCTGTGAATGTAACTGCCATTTTTTGTCCCGGGGTTTTGTCACGCCGAACTGCTAAGACCACAAATGGTGTAGGTTTATTTGGCCTGATTACCAGCCGCTGTCAGACAAACATTGAAACTTTTAATATAGAAGTTCAACATACAGGGATTTTACCTTCAAAAAATTAACTCGGTATAACTCAAGATCGTAGATTTTTAGCGATTAGTATCATCGGTTAAACCGGCGACAACGCTAATTTTGATTCCTTCTCTGGTAATTCACTTGTTTATCTCATAGTTTTGTTTAGGCAGAAATTTCCTTTAGTTTCAGTTTTAGTTGTAGTAGGGTTAGCAAATATATCTTGCTGTTGCGATCACTGCGTGAACGTCGCGAGTAAACCACACAAAAAATTGTGAGACAAAGGACTCCTTCCTCAGAAATAATTTTGTTCTGGAGCCACGTGACCAGCGTTTTCCAGGGTCTCTCTCTCTCGCGCTCCGTAGAGCGGGTAGGAGAAAACCCTGGGAACGAGGATGGGTCGTTTGCCGCTCGCTGGGTCGATCGCTTGTCAGTTGTAACTGTCGCGTTGTTGGTGCTCTTGTACCGTGCCAAAACGTTCTCCCGCAAAGAGAGATTTTAGAGGTTACGGGGACAACGGAGAGAGGAAAATAAAAAAGAGCAAAGAAAGTGCTTCTTCAGCAACCAGCAATGTGGATGAAGATTTGGTAAGATCTTTCTGTTTGTTTTCTGTTATGGCACCCATTTTCACCTTTTCACGTATTAGGGGTAAGCTCATATGATTTCTAGTTCAACATAACCTTACTTCCTCAGATTTTCTGGACTGAAAAAAGCGTTTAATTCACGAGGAAGCTAACATATTTATTATACTACTGAGTTGATCATCATTAAAAAGGGAACATGTTCTTTTTCCCATGATCGAGGGCAAGCTACCAAGATATATGACATGAAGCGCTTTGGCGTCTAATCTGTCGATTTCCGTTTACGGAAATCAAAAAGCAACCTTTAACTGTACTGCTTATAACAAATAAATATATGGCAGCACTACTACAGCTGCCCCCGCTCTGTATGTATCGTGGTCGGTCAATAGTCTTCTTGTTTGTGTAGCTCTGTAAAAAAACAGATTCATAATGGATATTTTCACACATATTGCATACAATAGGCGAGATAAGAACACGAAACGAAGAGTTTCATGCAGTGGTGATTCAGTTCGATTTTAAAGCAACTCAGATCAAACCATTCTCAGTTTCGAGAATATTTTGTTCTAAAATATAAGCTAAGATTTGATTAGAAGTTGTTATTCTTCACTATTTCTCTTTTACTTTTAAATTAAAAGGTTTGATCACGTTGCTCTTGGGCGTTCTAGTCATTTTACTTTTAAGACAATACGTTATATTAATGAGAATTCAATGAAGAGAATCGTTTCATTACGATAGAAAGATACATGTATCTGTTGAAGAGCAGTATTCACCATTTTGCATTCCGCAAGAGATTCTGAAAGAAAAGCTTATGCAACAATACTGGGAGGGGGCAGACAGACAAGGTGTATAAGGGAATGCAAAAATAACAAATACTTGTGGTTATATAAATATCTTTTAAGATCTGAACGAGTCGAGTAATTCACAAGTTTTTTGGCAAGTCTTTCTTACATGTAACTGAACCATACATTTATATCATACAAATATGGAAACCTCGAAAGTTTAGCTCTGTGGATTTGACCCTAAAGTGGAAATCAAAGTATTCTATTGTAAGATGATACAAAATACTTTATTTCCTCAATAAAAGCCGTCCCTTTTAACACCTCCCTCAAATAAGAAATATTTACTAGTAATAGTTGACAATACAGCTCCACCCACCCTGTATATTGTCGGTCAATAGTATTCTTGGTCATTGTGTAGCTCTTTGAAATATAAGGATTCATGATCAAAGAGTTTCACACATATTATTCTATACAGAAGGTGAGAATAAAAACATGAAACGAAAGGTGCCATGCACTGTTTGAGTACGATTTACACAGCTATGATCTGCAAGCATTCTCTGTTTTGAGAATAGTTTATTTTAAACCATTAGAGAAGATTTAATTATTAGAAGTTAAAGTTTTACAGACAGTTCATTTTATTTGCGTGAAAGTAAGCCTTAGAAATTAAAAGGTTTGATCAATAATTGCTCACAGATGTCCTTCAGGGCATAAAGTATTAAAAATGGCTAGAACGTGCCAATGAGATAGAGAAAGAGATCAAAGATCTGTGAACTCGTGTCTGGCAAACTATCCAAGTGTTTATATACACAGTCATACACACCTTATAACCTCATCTCACCTTAACGATATAACATTTCACAAGCATTCGTTATATAGAGGTATTTGATATAGCGAACCCTCCATTTAACTAACACATTTCCCCAGTCCCTTTGCATGTTAAATCGAGGTTCCACTTGTACTTAAATACTTTGATCACTAAAACTCCTTTTTAACTATATCATACAGCAGAGAAGGTGATAACGGATTTGTTGTTGCAGGAAGACGAAAAGTGATTAATGAAAAAAGATCATTAAGAAAAATAAATATCAATCGTTTTTTTTTTTAAAAAATGGTGTATTCATTTGTATTAAAATAAAAACTTTTGAACGTTGTTTCTTTTTAGACAACAACTACCTCGCACGTCCAAGCTCCTTACAGAGGCGTCTTCTCCATTTTCAAAACAACCATTTTTCTACTAGATTCTATTTTTTTAAAGAGCAGGGGATTTTTAGATAAAACTTCTTTGACAATCATTATCATTGACCAAATCATGATATTGGGTAAGGCTTTTCGTTGCGCGTGGTGAGTAGAATATCGTTTTGACTCTCTTTTACTATTCATTGCAATTATTATTCTTTAAAAGTTCATATTTCAGTTTATTTGTTGCTTTGGTGCATGTATGTTCTTTTTATCCCCATATAACGGTGACGAGGGATCCTATTAACCATCGGTGTTTAGTTTTCTGTAAGCTAAAAATAAATTTAAGTAAAACCTTCATACACCAAGAAGGGTGGCTTCAGAAAAGAATAAGGCCCGAGGATGATAATTGGTGGTAGAAATGAATAGTCTGTTGAACGTTGTGCTTTCCTCTTACAACAACTAGTCAAACATTTGAGCTCGTTACAAAGCTTTCTTCTCAATTTTTATAAAAACCATTTCTCAATCACTAGTGATTTTATTCACATTGAAATGTAGCGAGTTCTTAGGCTCAGTAAACCTTGTAACACACATTTCCCAAACTCCTTTTTTTATTGGAAATGCTTTTCATTGCGCGTGTTGACCAGAATCTCGTTATTGTAATTTTCACGCCCTGTGTTGAATTTCATTTGCACGTGCTGCTAGACTCATTATATATTCAGTTTCGTTTGTACCTTCGGGGCACTTGATAGAGATTAAAAATGTCTGTTCAGTAACCGCTTGAACGCGTGGTTCGCTGTCTTATTACATGGTGGCAGCGGTGGCCGCTTCTGCTTCGTTTTTAACCGTCTACGTTATACAGCATGCCTGGTGGTGATACCTCCAATGGACAGTCTGGTGCGGTAGCGCCGCCATCGTCGACTTTTCATCAGATTACTCCGCCGAAGTACCTTGACTTGAAACAGTGGAAAAATTGCCGAAAACTGGAAGCTTGGAAGGAGAAATATAACAATTATTTTGTCATTTCTCGTTTGGATCGGGAAACCCCGGAGTTTCAGTCGACGATGTTCAAACATACGATCGGAGATGATGCGTTGAAAGTCATCAAAACATTCAACTACGTTGTAATGGCAAAAATGGAGAAGCACTGCATCGGCGAAATCAACGAAATTTACGAACGATACTGTTTTAATATGCGAGACAAGCTTCCAACGGAGTCGGTTGATAGTTTTGTTGCCGAGTTGAGGAATCTGGCCAAAACATGTAATTTTTGCGATTGTTTGCGGGATAGTTTAATCCGTGATCGTATTGTGCTTGGAATCAAAAACGAGCTGACGACCAAGAAGTTGCTGAGAATGAGAGATCTTACTCTGAATCGTTGCATCGACGTGTGTCGCAGCGAGGAAGTTGCTGAGTTGCAAATGGAGTCGTTATCTGGGCCGGTGGATAACGAGCCTCGAGCTCCAACGCCGGTGGACGGGCGGTCGGCAAAGAAAATTTCCTGCAAATTTTGTGGCTATGACCATCAACCTGATAGGAAGATGTGCCCCGCATGGGGAAAGACGTGCAACCGATGAAACGAAAAGAATCATTTTGCCAAGAAGTGTAAGAAAGTTCCTGTCCATAATATTGAGAGCGAAGAGGAGTTAGAGGAGATCAGCGTTGTAAGAGTACAGGCTTTGAGAGGGAGAGCTGTGTATGCGAGAATGCTGGTTAGGCAACAACCGGTGCAATTTCAAGTTGATTGTGGTGCAAGTGCAAATATTTTACCTCTGAAGTATGCTGAGGGCGAGGAACTCGACTCGTGTTCGCAAACGCTTGTCATGTGGAATGGAACTAAAGTGACGCCTGTCGGTTCCTGTGCGTTGCCTGTTGTGAATCCGAAAACTAATGAGAAGTACAAGGTCCGGTTTCTAGTTGTGAAAGAGGATTTGACCCCTCTGCTTGGCTTAAATGCAACGCAGAAAATGAAGCTGTTAACTGTACACAAGGAAAACTTCATTAATGTCGTGGAAAATGCAAATGATGATCTCACAGCTAATTACGCGGATGTCTTTAACAAAGGTCTCGGAACACTTCCAGGAAAAGTTCGCCTGCAAGTTGACCCAGATTGCAAGCCTGTTATCCTTCCAGCAAGAAACGTCCCTGTGTCTGTTCAGGAGAAGTTCAAAGAAGAGCTCCAAAGGTTGGAACGTCTTAAAGTAATCAGTCCTGTTGACGAACCGACCGAGTGGGTTAGTCAGATTGTTGTAGCTGTAAAGAAGTCCGGCGAACTGCGTGTTTGTATTGACCCGCGACCACTTAATACTGTCTTGAAGAGGGAACGTTATCAAATTCCCGTCATTGATGATTTGTTGCCCGACTTGACAGATGCACGTGTGTTTACAAAGGTTGATTTAGCCTCTGCTTTTTGGCATCTGGAGTTAGTTCGCGAGTCTAGAATGCTCACGAAATTTGCTACGCCATATGGGAAATATCGTTGGCTCCGTTTGCCGTTTGTTCTCAGTGTTTCGAGTGAAATTTTTCGGAAAGGTCTCCATCAAGAGTTACAAGGTCTCCCGGGTGTAAAGTGTATTGCAGATGATATTCTCATCCATGGCACGTTTGAGGCTGATCATGACAGCAATCTAGATGGATTCATGTTCAGATGTCAGCAAAAAGGTATCAAGCTCAATGTTGAGAATTTAGAGTAGAAGTGTAAAGAGGTTCTATTTCATGGGCACCTGCTAACCACAGAGGGTCTAAAGCCAGATCCAGAGAAAGTGAGAGCAATCGTAGAGATGCCACGCCCAAAGGAGCGAGATGATATTTTACGCCTGAATGGAATGGTCAATTATCTTAGTCGTTTTCTACCCCACTTATCTGATGTGATGAAACCTCTACGAGATTTTACCCATAAAGATGCAGCATGGTGTTGGGATGATTTGCAAGAGAAGGCTTGGAATGATGTCAAGACTTTGATTGCATCAGCATCCGTTCTAGCCTACTACAAGCCCACTGAAGTGCTTGAGATCCAGTGTGATATATAGCAGCCAGAGTGGTTTAGGTGCAGCTTTAATGCACAATGGTCACCCAATCGCCTACGCTAGTAGAGCCTTAACAGAGACGGAATCTCGCTATGCGCAGATTGAAAAGGAGATGTTGGCAATCGTGTTTTCAGTAGAGAAGTTTAATGACTTTACCTTCGGTAGAAGAACTGTTGTCCATACTCATCATAAGCCACTTGAGTCAATTTTCATGAAACCACTTCATCGCGCTCCTAAGAGGTTGCAAGGAATGTTGATCCGTTTGAAAAAGTACTATTTGGTGGTACAGTACGAGAGGGGAAGCAGAATGTTCTTAGCGGACACTCTCTCTAGAGCTTATCTTCCCTCGGGTGCGCAGATTGAGTCAGAGTTTGAGACAATCAACATGATGAATTACTTGCCAATATCTGAAGCCAGGCTACTGCAAATTCAGCGGGAGACAGAGCAGGATGAATCGCTTCAAGTTCTAAAGGCGGTGATTCAGCATGGCTGGCCTGAAAATAAGAGTACCCTGCCGCTTCTAGCCTCTCCTTACTTCGATATGAGAGATGAACTGTCCGTTCAGGATGGTCTGATTTTTATTTTTGCTCTGTTAAGGCAACCATTAACTCCAAGGTGCGAATTGTGAATACTTTTTAGGAGACCACTCGTAGCAGCCTTGGGTACCACTACCCTTTCTCCCTTAAAAATCGGAACTTCTCATTCTCTATTCTAGGTTCAGACTGCCCTCACGGCTACCTTCTATTAAAATAGGAACTGATATCATCAAGCATACAAACAAGGCGCTTAATATCGGCGTCATTTTCGATAACACCGCAACGATGTCTTTTCATATTAACAACATAGTTAAAGTGGCATTCTACTACCTTAGAAATATAGCTAAGATTCGTAAGTATATCAATGTCACAACGGCTGAAGTTCTTGTGCACGCATTCATAAATTCGAAGCTGGATTTCTGCAACTCGCTTTTACATGGTCTTCCCAAGTATGAAATTAACAAACTGCAAAGTGTCCAAAACTCTGCAGCGCGTGCGATTGCCTGCTTACGTAAGTTTGATCGCATAAGTGATACTCTAAAGGAGTTGCACTGGCTACCAGTGGAGCAAAGAATAATCTTTAAGATTAATCTTATTTGTTTTAAGATACTCAACAATTTAGCTCCTGATTATTTGGTTGACCTAATCCATGTTTATGAACCTGCGAGCTACCTTCGCTCATCTTCAGACAAGTGGCGTCTTGTTATTAAACCCTATAACTTAAAGACATATAGTTTAAGGCCTTTGTCAGTCATTGCCCCTATACTCTGGAACGATTTGCCTATTGACATTAGATCGATCGATGATGTAAATAAATTTAAATTGAAGACCTCTCTTTTTAAGCGAGTTTACGAACTATCGTAGGTTTTTTATTTTGTATTTTCTGTGACTATGTATATGTTGTAGTTAATTTTTTATCTCAGGTAATTTTTATTTTTCTTTTGTTTCAACTTCATTAGCATATATTACCATACCCAAAAACAAAAGAAAAATAAAAATTACCTGAAATAAAAAATTAACTACAACATATATATATATCTATCTGATTTCTTTAAAACGTGGCCACTGGGTTCTGGTTTTCTAGTTACTGTTTACTGCACTTGCAAAATAACGTTACGTTACAACTTTTTACTTGCAGCATTGCGCTGTAACTCGTTTCGTTTTAAAACACAGTCTACGACTGTACTTACTTTGTAGCTGAGATGTACAATGTATGCTACTGAAAGACAGTGTCTTTGTAATGTGAATTAATAAATTTAAATGCAGTTTAAAGACGAGTGTGGGCCTGGTTTTAGCTATTCAGTTAAACAATTAAAACTGTAAGTGGAGTCATAGAAGTGACCTCATCATAGTTACCTCTTTTATACGGACACCTCTCTCTCTTCGGTGTCCCTATTAGAGACGTTCGACTGTAGCCTGTTGAATGTTTTGCTTCCTTTGACAACAACTAGTCAAACGTTTGAGCTCCTTCGCTACAAAGGTATTTTACCGATTTTCCGTGTTTGAACTAGTATTGATTTTATTCACATTCAGCTGTAGCGAATTCTTACCTAAACCTTGTAACCTCAATTTCCTCAACTCTTTTTTTATTAATAGAAAAGGCTTTTCATTGCGCGTGGTTAAAAGAATGTCGCTTTTGACTCTCTTTTACCATTCTTTGCATTATTCTTTAAAACTATTTTTCTCAGCGTTTTTAACTTAAGAATCATTATGTACATGTGTGACCTTGGTACCCACTTAAAATCGTGCCGTAAAAAAAATAAAGGGTCGACCATCTTTCCAACGTCACTAAAAGAAAATTAAATTGTTTTTTATCAGTTTGATTAGAAGCAATATTGTACGCCGATTCGACTCAAGCAGAACCCAAAATTTTCGAAGAATTATAGCATGTCTCATTTTGCCAGTATTCAAAGTTCATGTCTTTAAAAAAGTTGTTTTTTTTTTAAGAAAATCTCTTTTTTAACATGATAGAGTAGGTTTAAGTCAATAATTAAGAATCAATAATTAAGCAAACTAACGTTTTGGAAACCTGTTCACCACCGGAGTTTAGCTTTCTGAAAAGCCTTAACAGAACTGACTATCGATTGCATCGGTGATAACAAAACTCAAAACACCCTTCATACAAGAAGGGTGGCTTCGGAGAAGAGTACGAACGGCTGAAGATGATAACTATTAGTAAAAAAGATTGTATAAGATTCGAACACCCTTTTATTTTTCATTTTTTTGATTAACTTTTACAAATATTTGCGTGAACCTTTTTATCACATAAAACGAGAAGGTAAGACGTCCTTTTTTGGCTTCATAAGCCATTGGAAAAGTTGTTTTGGTCTGTTTGCCAACGGCAAGAAAATCTACATCGACTCAAGTTTGCTCCCAAAATCAGATATTCATCATTTGAAAAAGGTTATTTTGAAAGAAAGACTCCATCCATGACATCTACTAAGTTAAATGGGCATTTCACTTCATTCCGCTGACAGCGTCATTGAGATCCGAGACAACAGACGTTAAGAAGGCGGCACAGTGAGTAGAAGGAGTCTTTCTAACATCGCGAGTGAGTGCAGATAAAACCGTTCAGAGATGGCGAAGACGGCTTAGTATACGTCTTGGATCCCTTTGTCTTTGGCCGAAACTGAAGACAGCTGACTAAAACTGAGGAAATGTGTAATGCGTGATAAAATAGTTTGTGAGTCCTAGAGAGTCGATTATATACGATTTTAAAACGTGGTATTCCGCATTGATATTAATTGCATTCTATTACAATTTTCCCCATGGTATTGTACCATATGTTTGACCGCTCTCGGTTGAATGGCAGGTTTTCCGAGGTTGTGGCTCTTAAATCTCAATTTTTTGACCCAAAATGAAACCTGCTTGGTTGATATTCTGATTCTTGGGCAAACTTTCACCTCTGGACAGTTGTTTTGCCGAGCTATTCAACTCGAAACGTGACACAATTTCACCTGTTTTGAGCTTCGGATTGTTAGCATGGCATTCAAATTGATTGGTTTATCCTTCCGCTTCTGCTTCCGACTTCGACAATCTCAGTGGTTTTCACTAGATCATAAGCGGGACCTAAGCGACAGAGTCGTAAGCGGAGTCGGAAAAAATGGAAACGTTCTGATTCTTCTGATTCCATCGTGCTTATGACTCTGCTTACGACTCCGATTTTTGATTTCACTAGACCATTAGCGTTCTTACGACTCCGGTTACGACTCCGACTCCGACTCCGTCGCTAGTGAAAACCACCCCAGGGATCGAGTAAAAGAATAAATATAGCAGCAAACGTTGCCTATATGGACTTGCTAATGCTACCCTGTAATGTTTTTCAAGGTAGCACTTTATTTTTTAGAGGAAAAGGCCCTCAAAGGATCAGTAAACGGTCGAACAACGAAGAATTTTACGTTATCCGCGTACATAAAACAGCTATTTGTTCCAAAACCTTAAGACCAATATTTACACCCAATGGTGGCAGTAAGGGCAAGTCCTTATTAATTATGCCTTTCACAGCAAAAACTATTTTAAAAAAGTGAAATCGTTTGGTATTTCATTGGTGTTTCTATGATAAATAGAACATTACATGGCCGCTTGGAGATATGAAATTTCTCTTCTCGTTTTGAAAAAATATATTACACTCTTTCGCGGCGCTCACTTGTGAAATATTTTTCATGACTCGAAGAGAAATTTCGTATCTCCGCGGGGCCATGTAATATCCTCTAATTATAATAACAAAAATAAATAAGGACAATGGATATTCTCTAAAGCACGTAGCGTGAATATGTAGATCGTACGGAAAAAGTTCAAATACGGAGAAGTGGTAATTTACACTTAATGAAGGAGAGGATAAAATTAAGAGATTTGGATGAAGCACTAATTAAAAGTAACCTTTAAGTTAGATCATTGAAAAATGTAGAAGCGCTGTAGGCCAATGTACGTTTCTCAGAGTTGCTATGTGGGTATGGCAGCTTTAAAAGGTCATAAAGAAAGGCTCTTGTAAGATGGCCTGAAGGTCCACGTGAAACGAAGGGGAGTTGAAATCTATTTTTGAGGCATTTGGGAGCAAAACTTCCCTGTATTTAATAAGATCAAAAACGGAGATCCCCTGTAGTTTTGACAATAAGGAAATAGACGCCTTGTCACAAATTATGTATGATACAACCAGTTCCATTTAGCATTTAATTCTTCACTCCCTTCAAAGTATATTTCTTCACATGTTCCGCCATATTTTCGCCATCAATTCGCGTAAAATTTCGATGATCTATACTCAATCTACACACTCGATCAGCCCCACGAGTGCGAACTACTACAAAGTTCCTAGACTCTTAGGGATGGCGAATGGTACTGAATCCGAGACTCGCCGAGACGCCGAGATCCTAGTTAGAAATCCGAGCCCGAGACTCTTTGGTAAAAAGTTTCGAGACTCAAAAAAAGTAAAAACAAACCATGCAAAAACGAGACGTCGAGACTTATCAAAAACGCTTCCGAGATTTCGAAATCCTGCCAAAATTTTCCGCGACCCACGTTTTTCAAGGTACCATTCGCCACCCCTACTCTTGTGCAAAATTCAGTTCTCACTTGACCAGTTTTCCCGCCACAATGACGCAATAATTTTCTCACACGCCTGAGAGAAGTCGGGTTGAAGGAGCACACAAACTGGGACATAACAGAAGATGGTGGAGCAGTTACCCCAGGCAACAGAGCAATAAGTAAAGTATATAACGTAGTTGTTAACACAAGAGTTATAAAAATGTAAAGAAGAATCAAAATTAAAATATGGTTTAATATGACGAAGGAGAGAAAGTCTGCTTCTGATAATGGAGTAGTTTGCCGATTCCGCATGGCCAAGAATAGCGCGCAGACACTTTGTTTTAGGATTAGCTACAATGTTCGTCCAGAAATTTAATTTTCCAAGCCAAAATGAAACCTGCTTAGTTGATTTTATGGTTCTCGGATGAACTCTCACCTCTGGACGGTTGTTTTACCGAGCTATTTATCTCGAAACGTGACACAGTTTTTATCTCCTTGGAGCTTCGGATTTTTAGCATGGTATTCAAATAAAGCCGCGAACCAGCAGTTTCTAGGTCCGGTTCATACGCCGTACTTTTCTTGAGCCGAACCTAATAAACTTTCACCTCTGGACAGTTGTTTTACCGAGCTATTAAACTCGAAACGTGACACACTTTCACCTGTTTTGAGCTTCGGATTATTAGCATGGCATTCAAATATGGCCGCATACCAGCAGTTTCTAAAGCACGTTTACTGGAATTTTATAGAATCCGGCATCTCAGAGATTAGAAAATGGCTTAATTTGTGAGTCATTGCCAGTGATGAATTAGGTAAGCCGTACCTTTGACAAAATCTGCTTGAGATAGATCCGTTACGCTAGAGCTGAAAATATCGCATTGGCTCGCAAATGACAAACGACCATAACTTTTAAAATACTGAAATCGTACCTGGGGCTTTTATACATTCTTAACAACAGATGATCTGTCTTTTGGTCTGTTTAGTCTAGAGCTTTCAACTAGGTCCCAAACTTCAGAAATGAGCTTTTTTTGGCCTTTCGCTCCAAGGCAAATAGTTGGGGTCATATTTTGCTTGATTTCGTCTTTGGAGCTACATTTAGCAAATAACTATTACTTTCAGGAAAAACTAGAGGTGTTTACCTATAAATAGATATAAAAGTTATTGGTATATGTTGCAAATCAAACATTTGACAGCGCCGCAAAAAATGCCTAATTTTCAATTTTCAAGACGTGTAAACTGGCCGTGGCGAGAGAAAATACTCAGCGCCCCCCCCAGCGCGGACAGAAAATTATTGTGAATCAAAGCAAACCTATTTTAGTTATAGTCTCGATAAAGCCTTTCACTCGCCAGAGTTTCAGGCAAAATTAGTTTTCACGCGAAATTGATTGGGCGGTTTACTGAGAGAGCCTCTTAAAGTTAGAAGAGTGTATGAATGATACAGTTCTTTTGTTTTTCATTTTAGAAGATAAGGGAAATCGCGGTCAAAAATACAATGATGTTCAGACCGTTTGAAAACGTCACAAAAACTAAGAATTTGTACATGCCGAAATACTTAAAGAGAACAATGAGGTCAAGTGACTTGCGCTCGACGTAGTCTTTCTCGTTGTCTAACGCTTAATGAAAATTGAGGGGTCTTTTACAAGAAGTCGCTTTTGTTCTTCACCAACCGAAGATCAGTACGCCTTTGGATTTGTTTAATTCTAATTATATAAGAAACAAATTCTGAACAATCTACAAACTCACTATTAGCCTCTGTATAGTTAGTAGAGGTCCCCTCTACTAACTATCCCCTCTAGTGTAGGAAGGTCGCAGAAGACTCGCAATTGGTTCTCTTCGAGGAGATTCCCTATGGTGGGTTGAAATCTTCGGCTTTTGGTCTTTCATTAACTTTTGGCACAGGTGGTTGTTACCACTTCTGGCTCAAGATATCTTCTAATCGTTGTTTTCTTTCCTAAGGTATGGCGATAAAGGACCAAAGTTCTTCTTATCCCGTCTTCTGAGTATTTTATGGATGTTTACTGGTGTTGCTGTAATGGCATATCTAACTGCAATGATGACGACTGCTCTAACATCAGGAATTGTGACTGACCACAGAAAAATTGTTAACACTGAGGTAAGGACACCAATATTTATTTCATCTAATTTCGACCACAAAATTTTTACGATGCACACGTCCGATCTCTTGTCTAACGGATTAATCGTGCAGACAAGACATCGATGCAAACGTCTCTTCACATCATTGCCCCATGTATGTAAGGCAATCCGGATTTCGGAATACGGGAAATTTTCGCTTGTGGAATCCAGAATCCTGGGCTTTGGAATCCGGAATACAGTGCTGCAGGAATCCGGAATCCAAGTTCCACTGACAAAGATATGGAATCCAGTACCTGGAGTCCGAAATCCACAGGATGGAATCCAGAACCCAAACCTGTCTTGGGGCGACCATCAGTTTCTCGCCGGTGAATGAAAAAGTTCCAATAATGCAGGCATTAATTTTCCCGATGCACACTTCCGAAGACATGCCTGACAGGTGGATCATGAAGGTATACAGTCCAGGCACCCCTCATGGCATGGTCATGAAGACATTTATTAGACGCACAAGACCTTCCATATGTCTCTCGAAGGAACGATCCAGGCACGTTTTACCGACCATACCCCTCTCAGATTACCTGTGCGGGCAGATGGTCGATGCACAAGTCCCCTATAAAGCCTCACAGGTGACCTATCCATATCATCAATGCAGTCGATGCAAAGTTTCCGACACAACTCACAGAGTATGGCGTTCCGTTGCGGACAAAATTATACCGATGGTAAAAACATGTTGAAAACATAATACGTAAGTCAAACTTGTAAAATACACCGAATGCATTAAAAAATATGAGTCGAGATTTGCACTGATATACATGTTCAGGAACAAAAAAAAAATACTAAGCAAATGTCATGACTTCAAACACGAGTCGAAATTTTGAAATTTGAGTCGAAAAAAGTCTGCGAGTCGAGTTCAAAAAAAAAACTTGAGTCGAGAAAGAGAGAACGCTGACCAGTTGTGTTATCAATCAGTGCCTTCACTTCACCGAGACGAGGCTTCGATCCAAAGTAGTGGTTTGTTGGCTACCAAATATTGCAGATTTTTTCTCAGAATTCTTATTTCGGCACTTTGACGAGTACAAAAGGACACTTGCAACTCTGTCGTCAAGATTTTGTGAGACTTTTTACGGTTGTTTAGAAATAGGGAAGTTCACCCTTTCTACGTTAAATCGGACTGGAACCCACCGGTTCAACCATTAGAAGCCCTCCAGAGAGGTTAAATCACAACTGGCAGAGATACAACTAACAAAGCCAAAACACAACCTGTCACGCAAGGACCGACAAGCATTAACTTGAGAATTACAGCAAAACAAGCGGTCAAGGGAATCACTACAGTAGGCATGAACCTGACATGTTTTTAACTCGAACTCCCAGCTAAACTCGAATTAAGTCCCATTCCCCGCTTCTCAGTCATTTTTACTCAGCTAATTCGAATAACTCCAACTAAATTTCCTTTCCCCTCATCAAAATTTCCCTGAAATTTACCCCCGGCCGATAACTCGAATTCTGGTTCTTGTAATTCCACTCGGATGTCATTTCATTAGTTCCTCTTGTTGTAGAATCGGTAAAAAACACTAAAACCAACACTACAGCAATTTAATATTAATTGTTGCAACCAACAGATCACGTTTTTTCATAAAAAGGCATAATCATGTTACCGTTTCTGATGAAATTGGTAAAAAACTGCGCTGTCAGACAGTATACACTGAAGCAATAACTCGGACCCCCGCTTACTAGAACTGTTTTTCGTTAACTAGCGCACAAAGGAATCAAGGAGAATTTCCTCTATTGTTAACACACGGTCCCACTCCAGTATAGATGTGAGGCCTGTTAATTATATAGTTACCCCCTTTCTGTTGGACAATCACACCCAAAGATTATTGGTCGTAAGTTATAGTTGGTTTGTAAATTTTTGTAATAGTGTATAACTCTGGTATTCTAGGTGGATTGGGTGTTTGAGATTTGCCACTATCTCGTCATTTCATCATTATGTTTTCCGTACTTAATTAGGCGCTTGACCTTGCTTTGCGTTTCTTTCAACATTGGTTCAACGAGAGGTTTGTAGTTATGTTCGTCGTCGATTTGTATTTGACTTTCTCTTATTTTGTCAGTTTTGTTCGTGCCTACTGTAGTGAGTCCCTTGTCCGCTTGATGTCGATGTCGCGCGCCAGCTCAGTGTAATTCTTTTAATGCTTGTCGGTCCTTGCGTGACAGGTTATGTGTTAGCTTTGTTATTTGTATCTCTGCCAGTTGTGATTTTTACCTCTCTCGTCCTTTTGTACTCGTTAAGGCGCCGAAATAAGAATTCTGAACTGTAATACTGAAGCTGAACTAAGCTGCCTTTTCAAATCCTCGATAAGTCTAGCAAGGGAGAAGAAAAACTCTGCAATATTTGGTAGCCAAGAAACCACTACTTTGGATCGAAACCTCGTCTCGGTGAAGTGAAGTCATCGATTGATATCACAACTGGTCAGCGTTCTCTCTTTCTCGACTCGAGTACTTTTTTTTTCAAATCGGCTCGCATATTTTTTTCGACTCAAATTTCAAAATTTTGACTCGTGTTTTTTTTTTCGTTCGTGAACATATATTTCGCAAATCTCGACTCATGTTTTTTATTGCATTTGATGTACTTTACAAGTTTCGACTTAAGTATTATGTTTTCAACATGTTTTTACTATCGGTATAATTTTGTCCGCAACGGAACGCCACAACAGAGGAAACATGCAGTACAATCTTTTATGGGCAAATTCTCTCACATAGCTCACAGATGTATTGGCCAGGCCAATGTTTGATGCAAAATTCCCCAAACACACATCACAGATTAATGGTGGAAGCAAACCTATGAACTCCCAGCACACAATGTACAGGAAAACTTAGTAGGACGCCCATAACATTCGATCGTAGAACGGCAGTTATGCATCGACCACATCCATCTTTGTCACATAATTATTTTATTTATCAATTTATTTATCAGATGACCACCAAGAAAGAACAAGGGCCGTTTAACATATCTCCTAGATAAACTACGCTGACCAGTTCGTACTGCACATACTTCTTTTGATATTGTATGCCCAGGAAACTGTGATGATTCTCAAGATGTAAAGCAGTTACTTTCAATATTTCTTGTTATAGCTTGGTGTTTTAACCAACAGTCGAGGATACATGGAAGGAGTGAAGCAGGGCGTAATCGTTAAGGGTAAGAACATCAAAACTGTAACCTTTAGGTGGATTTACACTGCCGCGTAATTTTTACGTGCGCATCAATTAGAACCTCGCATAATTTTACGTTTACTCGCGACACTTCATACATTGCCTCTATTTTATTTACGCGCATAGAATTATTCAGAGAATGAACTGCTAGTGCGCGACGCGACACACAAAATTGTAAACGGCTACGGCATGCCCCATAGTACTTATGAGTAGTTTTATTAACTAGAGATCAGAGGTGCATAATTACAATACTAGACCAGATAGACCTGATACTAGACAAAGTGTTTGTGCTATCGCAATTTGTAATGAAAAGGCTGTCGCAATTAGTATTAAAAAAGTTGTCGCAATTTGTAATAACTGTTCATCGCAGTCTGTAATAAATTTTTTGAGATTTATTCTGTTGCCATGAGGGATTCGCTTCAAGACATGAAAATTATCGTGACATGTCGCCTTGTCAATGTAATTTCTTTTCCCTTTTCCTTGTCGGACCATTCACAAAAATTAGCGTGTCTGCGAGTTGTTTGTTGCTATTTTTGAAAGACTTTTAGAAATCTATTACAAGAGCGGTATCGAGGTTTAGCGTGCTCTGAAAAGCTAACCAAACATAACTTAGAAAACCCAACAGCTGGTGGCGGTGATTTTCTTCTTATCATTGCTCCGAGTCAAGAAAAATTTATTGTATCACTCAGCAAGAGTTTTACAGATGTCTTTGTTTTATTCCGTAAACTTAGAGGACGGAAATATAAGCACTTTTTGTACGTTTCAGCTTTGATTATGGGATAACATTCATGTTTCTGAGAAGTTATCAGTATTAACCTGAGTAAGTTGAATAAATGTCAAAAAGTTTATGACTAAGTGCGAGGGAATTGTTACCAACTGTGACAGCTCATTTTATTACAAAGGAGTGTATCTTTATGTCGAGGGTGGAGGGTAGCAATTTTTTTAATTTTTTTTTTTGAATAGTAGAAAACAAATGGAAAACAAATAAGAAGAATTTAAAAAACAAATGGCGTGTCGACATCTCCATCCATATTAGTTCCACTTGTTGGGTGGGGAGGGGGGAGGGGGGGACAGAACACGTTACTTGATAATGAGTGACTGCCTAAGAACGTCTTCAGCTCTGTTGACGAGCCACCATATAGTAAAAAATGTCGTAAAAAAAGTTTAAAAAACTGATTTAACTGATATATTACTGTCAAAATGAGCTTGGCCGCCTGTGGAAGCAGGAATTACAAAATAACAAATAAAGGATATGCGGCTAAATTAGCGATAAAGGCTAGGCCCTAGCCTAACCCTTCCAACTTTTCCCAGTTTTGGGCTAGGCGGACCGACCCATCTTAATGAGATGGAGGCAATGAAAAACGAAACATATTATTTTATTGAAAGTTAGCATAATCGTCTGCTCCGATCTGATCGCTGTTCGTGAATAAAAGCTCCCCTTTTCGTGCAAAATAGGAAATAATTGCTGAAGCCGTTGTGAAGAAAGTTTGTGTACAAAATTAGTTTCGCCACATGACTTCCTATTATCGCACTGCCGCCATCAACTGCGCCGACAAGGTTGGTTTTCCGTTCCTTTTGTATTTCAGAGTGTTTCAAATTTCTGCAGTGATATTCGTTTTAAGCTGCAGAACATTAACGTTGGTAATTGAAGGAGTTTATTATTGAGACCCGACTCGGGCGATAGCATCAACCATCTAAATTATCACTCTAGCTACGTACCTAGGTCACGATTTCCGGTGTCGGTGATTATCGATGACTTGTATTTTAAAATTTCATGGCGAGTTTCTACTTCATTGAAAGCACAACAATTTGGTCCCATACAGTGGGATAGCTTAAGAGCAGTTGTCTGTAAGATTCGAGCTATATTGAAAAGTCGCTGCCACACTATCTCACCGAATTGGCTAAAAATTGGCAAGTAGACTTGATTTGGGGTCTTTAATAAGGAATAGATAACTTTAGGTTCTAATTCTTCCTATTGGTAGTTTCGAAAACGAAGCACTCGAAAACAAAGACCGAAGCACGAAGCACCCAAATCTCGAAAACGAAGCACCTTAGATCGAAAACGAAGCACCCTAGATCGAAAACGAAGCACCCAAAACTCGAAAACGAAGCACCCTAGATCGAAAACGAAGACCCCTAAATCTCGAAAACGAAGCACTCAAAACTCGAAAACGAAGCACCTGAATCAGGTGGAGGCAGCGGATGAATCCGCACCTCCAAAGGTCCACAAAGTCCATCACGCAGCGGCGGAAATGCAGTTACAACTTGAGTACATTTGAACTGCATTCGATTCGTTATCATGCTTGATTCCTGCTGTATTAGCATTGGTCTCGTGTTCGGTGTCGAGTTTTGGGTACTTCGTTTTCGATCTAGGGTGCTTCGTTTTCGAGTTTTGGGTGCTTCGTGCTTCGGTCTTCGTTTTCGAGTGCTTCGTTTTCGAAACTACCTCTTCCTATTTCGGAAATTATCGATATGGCCGGTTTTTGGGTGCCTCGGACAGGCGCCATATTGGTTAATAGAAGCTGCTTTTGAGCCTTCGACTACAACCCTGTCTTCAAAGCCAATCTTCCTTTGCCGTTATACATTGAAAGAACAATCCCTTTTTATTGTATTTTTAGAAACTACTTTGAAATTGATAACGTTTTCGCAACGATCGATTAAACTTTTGGTGGGTATACTTTTTGAATTTTTTACATCCGCAAAATCAACAGAATTTTAAAGGCGTATATCTCTTTTGCCACATCGCATTGAAGCTTGCCACTCTGCCTGAATACTCATTGTTTGTAATCAAATCGAGTTCGTTAATAAAAAAATTGGGCAAATTTAACGGAGCAGAAACAAAAGTAATGAATGGAAGAGTATTCTAGCGACTTTGTCAATAATCTTTACACCGAATACTCGCCAGGTGTTGCCAAAATTGCAATCGATAATAGAGTTCTGTCATTAAATCTGAGTGATCTGTCTGATAAAATTAGTCTCTGTAATATAATCGATAACTCTGCTGCGAAAAACAGTATAAAAAAGGCAGATTGTACAAGGAAAAGGAAAATGAATTTGTTATGTTTATGCTACGGCGCGTAAACAAAATGCAACCATCACAGTCGAACTGGAATTTTCCTGACTTCCTCCAGTTCCTTTATCGAAACCAGAGCTTTTAAAATTAACCATAGTAATAAAAATTGAGATGTATTACCTTACTCGACGACAAAGATGCCAGTTTTCACCTTGATCGAAAAAAAAAATTATATTTTCCCACGCATATCGCGGGTCGTCACGTTCCTTGCATGGCGTTACAACTCACGTGAAACCGCCTGGTTTCAAACAACTGAACTGAAGAATCCGTGAAAATAATGGAAGTTGATATAAGTTATCATTATTAGTGAGCGAGGATGCGATGATAGTTCCAGCTACATGTATTTACAGCTTTTGAAGATTCACTCAAAACTCATGAGACATGAGCCCTTGAAATAAACATCATTACTTCCGGTTTTAAAATTGGGCGTTGGCAAAGTAATAAATAGACTCATTTTACCACAGGTAGCCGAAGCTTTTACCTTTATATAGAGAGAAAACCGTTTGCATAAAAACCCATAAAATGGCCATAAATCGGCCCATGGACCACACAGGAGAGACGTAACACACATTTTAAGTGAGGTAAGCTGTTTTTTAATTGAAATCCTTTCATTTTCGTAGGTTACGGAAACGATTGGTTTTTTTTTCCCATACAAATCCTTATATTTTGAATGTTACGCAACAATGCCGATGCTCATATTTCGAGCTTGGGCTACCTGTGATTCTACCTTGTACTCCATTAACAACGGTTCCTTGCCGCACAATTTTCAGGTACTTTGTGTCAATCACGAAGCCCGTTTTGAGGAGATTCTTTGTCTTTCCATAAAGGGCTTTTTGATAAACAGAAAAATTGGTTTGGAAGGGGTTAAGAAGAATGAGGGATGAGCCCAGGACTACAAAAACCACAGTCACCCCACCGAAGGGCTTTAAAACTGGGCGCAAATGCCTCACCCTATAGGAACAATTCCAGATTTTCGTTTCCTTGAAAAAGCTTAAAATCGCTAGTCAATGCATGGACAACTCAAGACAGTCCTAATTCAAAATAAAGCAAACAGCAAAGAAAATCCAGTTAGCGACCAGGACTGAGTAGCTCAAAGCATGGTTAGCTTTAACCATTGGTTAAGCAGTATCAAAACCAATACGTTGTCAAGGAATTAAACGCTGCTTAACGCTAACCATGCTTCGAGCAACTGGTCCCAGAGTGTTTATCCGATATCGCGAACAATAAGGAGTGATTGAAGATGTGTCTGCAGTTTAATGTGAAATCATTTACCATGCTCACGGACCTTTTGACAACATCCTTAGCGTACCGATTGACGTAATATTAGTGGTAAAAAACGAACGCTTTTTACTGTAGGACGATGACGTCATCATACAAAGGGCGTCTTCACTCTGGCATCCTGAATTTCAAACCGTCAAAACCTAATTTTCTCTGCTCGTCAACTCAAAATCGCCTCTGAGGACAAGTAGTGGTAATGTGCTTGTTAGTAAGACCTCCAGCATAAGGAAACATTCATAATCAACTTGGTTTATGCATTGATAAAGGAAAACTTTCTCCTTTACCCTTAGGGGCAGAGTTCAAAAGCACAAAAGACTTTTATTTCAGCTCTAGCATGTATTGTCTAGCGATTTGCCTTGAGCTTCTCTAAATTTTCCAGATCTAACAAGCTGTGCCCATCGTACATAATCTTGTCTGGGCTCCCTTGAAAAATTACACTTCATCAGAAGCCTTCAAGTTCATCCTCCGCGGCGACAACTTCATGATCTATTTTAATGGGTGGTTTTCTGGAACTATCCTATGGCTTTTCCTTTCTGGTCGTCACTATATTAGCGAGCACATTTCAATTTGTCTCCAGCAAAAGTCTCTATCAGGAGCGTAGCCAAGATTTTCCAGGTGTGCGCACAATTTTCAAAACTTACCCTAACTTCTTACTCAGTTCTCTTGTAACGTTTCTCCATTACATTTGCTAATTCAGTTAACTAGGTGAGGTTATGCGCGGATGAAGTGGCACTTGCAATCGGTGCGGAAAATTAGATTAGACCAAGAGAGGATAAAGGGGACAGAGAAGGCATCCCCCATACACACC